CTCATTTTCTTAATAATACACCAAGGACTATACATTATTTTTATGTAAATGCCTGATTTTCAGGACATTCCTTACATTACGGGATACTTAAAACGTCAACTAACGTCATCCAAATTTAACAGAATCAGTTCGCTTCGCAAAGATTTTATCGTATTCCGGGTACGATTTTGTAATAACGAACCAAAAATTAGACTTTGTCGCGCCATACAAGCGCTTGCTTTTTGAAGAGCACCTCTTTGTGCGGTGCGGTCTAACAAATAGACCTGCGCAATCCAAATTCCCAATCAAGTTAATTTATTAAGAAACAATTTTCATTATAAAATATTAAAAATTAAGCATTGTTGGCATATAAAAGATTATTTTTCATTAGAAGCCTTACATGAATTGGGATCCAAAATATAAACCTATGTGCTTTAAATTTGTTCAGGTTAATTTTTATGTCAAATTTTCATCAGGATGTACTGAATATTAAGTCTTTTTACTCTACAAAGATCCTGTTTCCATAGGAAATTTCTATTATTTAGCGATTTTTGTCGCGAAATTTTAAAGATAACACTATTTTTTTCATAGAACAATTTATCAAAATAAGGCGTTATATGGCGATTAGGCGAAAAAGTGGTCTGATCCCTGAACCACTTTCAGTAACGTTCGTCTTTGGACTAAAGGTCATAAGCGTGATAAATTTCATCAAGAGATTTTAAAAATTGCGACTTATATGCTTGAACCCAAGATTGCATGGACAGACATCAGAAGGAAAGACCGACAGACAAGCTTAGAATAATTTTCTAAACTAATCGGTACAAAAAAGTTAGAGCTATCTCAAGTCTTTCTGGCGGCGACATACGTCCGCACGAACTTAACATACTGTGCATCACAAATTGCGTCGGATCAAACATATGGGTATGAATTTCATTAATTGTATGTATTGTGTGTGTGAAAATATTTACTGCTATATTACTTAAAAAATGTTTTCTTTTTTCTTTTTTTTTTTGCTCTCTTATTTTTTGTCTCCTCTAGCGTATCGCCTTTGTTTTGTTCAAAAATCATTGAATGTTGAAATCGCCTTTAGGTTTATTTAATATCGGATATCGCAATTAAATCTTAAAAATTATTATTCTGCCCTACTCTTGACTCGGAATCACACATTCCCCCAGGATATGTATCCATCATCATTATCGCAATCAACTGTTGCTGCCGCTATTGTTATTATTATTATTATTATTGCAATGATACAGTTATTGTCATAGCGATTCCTTCCAAATATTATTTTGTTGTTGTTATATTTTGTTATTTTATATTACGAGTATTTTTGATTTGTTTGTTTTTTTTTTTTTTTCTCCTCTCTTCAACAATCTCGGACGTTAGAGTTTTTTGGGTAAAGCCTATCTATGTAAAGTATGAGAAGTAAAAGTAAAAAATTCGTCATATTGTTCTTTCCATAAGATTATTGCGTATAGCATATGCATCGACTGAACGAAAGAAATTATTGAACTAATACCATTGACAGGCAGGCAGTAAGAATTATAATTACTTCCCTGTTCCTTTTCGTGTGAAATATGTGAGTAAAGGAAGCGAAGGATTCCAAGCAAACATATTTATCGATAATAATTATCCGGTTTCGCCTTCATTTAATAATAAATTATGCGACAATTTCGACTTTTATTTTTTTATTCGAGATGAAACTATATAATCACGAATATGTTGAAAGAAATATTTTCCCGCTTCTTTGTATTGCTTTGACAAGAAAACAAAAAAAATAACAAAAATTATTTTTCAATTTTCTATTTAATTTTGATTTTTAAGCTTTCAAACTTATTTAAGGTTTACAGCAAAAGCAAGATTTCTTTCTATGTTGTTAGACTGCTTACAATGCCCAATAGGCATACATATTATATATCGTTTATCGTTACTCTCGACTTACGAGGCCTGTAGAATTAAATCTTGATAACATCGTCTGTGTTATATATACTTGAGAGCAAAGAAATCGCACACAACTTACATTAGTCATTCATCTCGTATTTAAATAGTTATTAAATTATATTAAATTTGGATAAATACACACTGTTAACTTTTGAAAGGTACATAGCCCTTAACCTTTAAAATGATTACAATCGTACTAATTGGGTAGAAATACCCGAAAATCGCTCGTTTCAAGTAGCGCCGTTTCGGCGATTTAGCTCCTATTTAACAGAACATTGTAGTCGGACGGGATTGACGATTACATACCCTACACCACACTGTCTAAAACAATTCTTATTTTTATATGGCATTACTATTATGAATCAATTTTCATCATCACATATTAAAGCTAAGACTTTTCTGAAAATGCTTATTAGAGTAGGATCTAAAAATAGGCGGAGATAGTCCAAATTTAGCAGAATTCATTTTTTTATGTTAAATTACTATTATAATATAATTTTCATCGTGAACCAATGAAAACTACACCTCTTTGTCTTTGATGAACTTTAGTTTTCGTTATGCGAGAGGGTTTCAAAATTGCCACAGTCGGTCCAAAGTTTTCAGATACCACTACTTAGCCATTTTTGTCGAGAAATTTTGAAAATTCCAATTATTTTCCATATAGCGACCTTTCAGAATAGGGCGTTCGTCCTTCGATCAAAACACGTCACTGTACCCAATTTTATCGAAAGACGGATCTATCTCAAGCCCTCCCGCGCGTCACATACGACTACAGGAGCTTAATAAACCCTGTACACCGAGTGATGTAGGGTATAAATACCGTTCAAATTCAGCATTGGCTTTGTTTAGCTGATTTTTGACGTAATCGTGCAATGATGCTGAATGCGGTGGACACCAGGAAAAGTTTTGCTGGTTATATCAGAAAATATCGCAGAAATCCTAAAAATTATTGGCGATAATTGACGAATGAAGTTTCCAATATATAACTGACTTCCTAAAAATATCGAAATGCAGTGTGGCATGAGAAACCTAATTCCAAAAGAGGTACCGCACTTAGTTATTATAGATGAAATGCCCTGTTGCGCAAGCCGGTAGCTACGATGGCTTCAATTAAAATTGCTCTCCATCCGTCGTATTTTCCCATACCTGGCCCCTGGCGATTATTATCAGCTGATTGCAAATATCAAAAGGACAGCTGTACGAAAAACGAAAGTGGATCAAACGATGAGGTCATTGCAAAAGGTGAAGCATATTTTGAACGTCTTGATAAATCATGCCATAAAAAAAGTAAAAAATTATTACAAAAGCTTTGAAGCGATTGCATACCCCTTGTAGATGACTATATTAATAAATAAAGTTGCATTTCGCAGAAAAAGCAAATAATTTTTTCTTACTTGGCCGATCTTGGCCGATGTATTACATGAACGTTACAGTACAAGATATTATCATGTTCTTGATTTGAAAAATTTCATCTTCTGATCGAACAAGCGCTCGAACCGTGATTTACGAATTTCTTGGATAGTATTTTATCTGAAAAATGTTGCTGCAAACAAAATAGAAAATCTTAAGAAGATTTTTTCAACTTTTTTCTCAACAAATTGATTTTTGTTACGAAATGCGCAGCGCGTTGGGTATTTGGTTCAAGCCACATATCGTCCAAGTCGAGCTCATCTAATTTTTGCGGCACAAAAAATCACTTATCATACTTCTCTAAACGTTCGCCATTGACGGTAACTGTGTGCGTTCATCCACACTTTGGCTGAACATTTAACTAAGAACTAAATGTTCATAGGCTATAATATTGGGCGGGCGCAGCTAATTTTTTCTACTTTCAATATAAAATCATGTTCTTTGTAAAGCTTGGATCACTTTCAAGTTCTTTTGCAACTTTGTAGCCGATATCCTCCTTTTTGACAAACGGGGGAATATTTATCATAGATACTACCCAGTTGCGCAGACGGGCCGGCGGATATGTTTAGGTGCATTCGTAATTTGAAACTGGCCAAGACTTTATATACTTTATGCGGCTTCTTGGCTTTCTATAAAGGTTTTGAAAAAAAATAATGTGATAACACTGTATAAAATTGAGAAGGAGTGAACGATTTTTTTTTTTCTTTTTTGCAGAGCGAGTACAATGTACGTTCAAATTTTTGTACATTTATCCTGCAGTAGTTTATCGGTAACGAGCAAAACACGAACTTTTTATTCCCATTGAAAAACAGAATTGTGCTCATTTTACGCAGTAATTTGGACGTTTTTTTCGACCGATTTGGCCCATTTTGAATACCAATTTGCAAGCAAGAACTTCCAATCTTTCAGTCAAATTTGGCATCGATAACTTCATTTTTGCGACCAGGAGAATGTTTATACTGACGGACAGACGGACATGGTCCAATCGTTTCAGAATCTGATGTTGATCAAGATTATGTATACGTTATGTTTGATCTCTGAAGCTTCCTTCTCGGCGTTGGAAACCTTTTGACAAAATGAATGCATCGCTCACCCTTCGGTGATGAGTATAAAAAGAGTTGAAAAACGAGAGAAGGAAGACTACGTCGTTTAATAAATTTGAAGAACAAACGATTGGTCTAATGGTGACTTTATTTAAATAGAAGGCTTAAACGATTCAAAGAATAATCGGGAAAAAACTTGACCAGAACGAGCTCAACTCCAGTTAGGGAAACATATAAACAGATGCTGAAGAACGAAACCGACGATTAAGAAATGCCATAATAGAAAGTAAAATATCTTCACTCTGTTCATCTAATACAACATGGCCTTTACAAACAATTCTCTTATTTTGATATAAATTTCAGATACTCTACGCATATAAGAAATAAAAAAAAAACGATTAAATTATATAAGCGATTTAAAAATTCAAACACGTCTTGCACAAAATGTATGCGCATAACTCTTTACATAACCAAAATATATATATAAAGACGAATGTTGTTAATAAAATATTTTAAAAGGTCATTAACTTCTAAGCCATATACATATATATACATATGTATATGAATATATACATATATAGATATATATCTTTTACAAGTTTTATAGGAACAAATCGCTTGACTTACCCATCAGAAATGTTGTTATAGTAAATGTTGAGACAGATCGTAACTGCAACATGTTGACGTTTTTTTGTTATATTTATTTAAATTGTAGAGTTTTTTTTGGCTTCGAAATTATTGTTAAAAAATCCTTTAAAAAAATATATATTAAAATAATAATAATAATAATAATAATAGTAATAATAGTAATGAAAGCATTTTACATTTTTTATATTTTCCTCTTCACTTTTCCTCACTTTCTTTACATTATAATTACATAATTTGCTTTGAATGTTAATTATTATGGATGCATGTGAATTACGTTAAACAAAGTAAAAACGAAAAAAAAAAAAAAAGACAACACACAGTAATTTTCATTTCAATCCATTTATTTTTATGCGATTTGTATACATTCGTTCGGTATGTCAGTCACCTGCCACAAAAACGCATACACTAACACATTTCATTGCACACATAATATTAAGTTAGTAAAATACTTTCTTTTTTTTTTTTTTTTTAAATTTCTTGGTTTTTTTTAATGTTTTCTTCTTTTTTTTGCTCAAACCATAGATACAAAACAAAAACCGAATGCTTCAAATGATTGTATATATATATATATATATATATATATAATTAAAATTAAAATCATAAAAATAAATTCGCTGAAAATTGTACGTCTCTCTACCTTTCAATTCATCTGTCCGCCCATCCGTCTATCTGTCCGTCCGTCCGTCCGTCTATCTGTCTCTGTATAGTGAAATTGAAAAGTTCACATTCATACGTTCATCCATTCATTACAGTTCATTGCATTGCATTGCATTGCATTGCATTGCATTGCATTGCATTTCAAATCAATTAAAGCTTTTTTTTTTTTTGTTTTTGCTCGTTTCACACTCATACATATTCAAGTTATTTAAGATACAGGTAAAGCGTGTAAAACCTATGCGCGAGTTTTTTTTAAAGGCTTCTCACAAATAAAGAAAAACTGCATTCCAAACACATTAGATTTTAATGAAAATTCATATTTTAGTAGGAGACAAACCCCTTAAAGATAATTTTCAATGAAATTATTGCGAAATATGCACGCATTTGTAAAAGAAATCATAAACACTTGCACATGCATTGCAAGCAAACATAAATAATTTCTTTTAAAAATTCCTTCATAATAACTTTAATTATAATTTCACTATTTATTCAAATGGCACAGATATATAATTAATTTAAAGAATTTTTCGCGGAATCATTTCTAAAATGCATTAAATTCGCAAAATGTTTCTTAAAAAAGTTCAAGCAAACCGTTCGCAAGAGAACTTATTAGAATCTCTCCCATAAAGTGAAGCATTTGATTGCTGCAACTCCTTTAGCTTAAGATAATTTCATGCTGTTGTCCCTATGTCAATTGAAGTCACTTTTATTCGCTTTTTTGAGGTTACGTCATCACACATCTATAGCAATTTATTTTAATATTGAAACTTAAGTATAAAAGTCTTAAGGCATTTACTGCTACAAGAATGCTTATTGAAATTGTTGAAATTTCTTAGCAAAATTCTAATAACTCAAGTTCGCCTAAGCAGTTCAGTTGAATGCAAAATCAAATATTCACTACGTAAGCAGTTAAAGAATATTATAATTCTTATAGAGAAAGTTATTTAGATCATTGCCATCAAGTAACTCATTTAACTTAAGGATGCATAGAAGTTCGCTCAACACTTCTTCGCTGCTTTTGAGATTATATTGCGACATTTCTTTTACTCCAATTTCATTTAATATGCTCTACGCTAAGGAAATAGTTGGAAATATGACAAGTTTTCTATCAAAATTTCGCACATCAATTGAGAGCCCTTGCAATCGTTCCGACAAGCGAGCACTTCCATGTCTCATAAAGGGAAAGAGTGTGTTTCTTCTTCCCACTTCTTCCGTTGCAATTATGGTATACGCGTGAGTACAGACGACGATTTGAATCGTAAATACTTGAACAAAACTATGCGGATTTAAAAATTAAAGCCGCACAACTGACATGCGCGATATAATTTTCTTACGCATATCCATAGATAATAACTCGGTTAGCACGCAGAAGGCCGCCATCATTTGACCAATTTAGCAGAAGAAAGTGTTACCTAAAATGAAATTATGTGAAAAGTTGACTCTTTACGGTTTAGCACTTCAAAAAGTTCATGGTACAAGCATTGAAAGCAATCGCTGCCCCTCTCCAATGTGTGCCGGCTATATACGGAAAAACTATGAGAGTTGAATTTAGAAGATATTCAGGCCAGAAAGTCATCTTGCGAGAGGATGTGCTGAATGGAAAACAATTTAAAATAATTTGAAAGTTTTTTCACACTCTCTTAGGACCATATGTCATAAGACTATTGAAACTAAAATATTATGACTATATATCTTGAAAATGCTTTCTTTTGAAATGTATATCTCAAAGTCAAACACCTGTCTGCAGCCGCTTTCAACAAACTAACCATAAAGAAAATGTTGCCGAAAAGGTCTCTTCGTTCACACAAAACATTCGCAAATCCTCTTGGAACGCTGCGGCACTGCAACTTTTAATATTGTCTACCAGCTGCAAACACATCGCGATGCTTGATTTCATCAAAATATGTCGAAAATTACGATTTGTGGGTCGAACCCAAACGAACATGGACGGACATCAGACAGATAGGCAGACAAAACTAAATGAATCGATCTCAAGTTTTTTTTTGGGTATTACAACAGTCGGCACAAACTTAAGTGATGTAGGAGTGGAAATTATATAATTTTTAGAATTTCTCAACAAAAATCGCTTGATCATAGTATTATCAAATTCTAAATTGGTGCGAAAATTTTAGATCAGATACCCGTTCCTACGGAAACGAAACCTTTTTTATTGTAAAAAGGCCAATATGTCCTCAAAAGTCAAGCCTACCGAATTTGGAACACGTACGTCTATTATTTGCATCCAAACGCATAGAAGACTTTTGATGAGAAATAAGGTTTCATATCCTAAAAAGGTCAAATTTTCAATATTTTATGATGAAAATTCGTTCCTAGTAAATTAAGCATAAAAAATTTGGATCAAATAGTTTGCTAAGTTATTCAGAAGATTGTATATTTAAGTGCGAATCATAACCAGGTTTGACTGGCATAGAGTTTTAAAAACTAAACTGAAATAATAAAGCCGTTCCGCCGAAAATTGATTGACTCTACATAGAATTTGACCTCATATATAGAATTTGATTGATTCTCTTTTAAATAGAGCCCAAGAATTACGAAATTATACTATAAACAATACTAATGATAAGTTTAACCGAAATCTATCTAAATATTTCTCATATGAATATAAGATATATATAGATTTTTAATTAGTATAGATAGTTATCCGGATTATCATTGAGACTTTATATCAACATAAAGTTTTTGACGTTTGAAAGTAAAAATAACATCGGACCAATTATTCTCAATATGCTACGAAACTATTAACTAAATTGTCAATGTTAAGGTTACATCTTATCTTTGTAACTTTGAATCGATTAAAGCATCAATTTAATCGTTATAAATAGTGATAAAGTGATCAAAGCCGGGATTATCTGTGAGATTCGAAAAAAATCAATTTTTTCAATGCAACTGAAAAATTGCAGTTCATCGCAATTGCGACGATTTCACGCTATTTTTCTAATTAAAATTCTGCCCTTAAAAATGTGCCCTATGTCAACCTAAACGTTTTAAGCGTAATTCGAATTATATATCATATTACCGGACTGAAAACGGAAGAAACTGTACATTATACGTTTCGAATATATTATTTACATAAAATACAATCGCAAACTCCCAGCTTAAATTCCTTAACTATTACATCGGCCGGTGAATGCTCTTCAAGCTTTCTAAGAATAGATTTTCAATCAAAGGCGCCGTCCTCTTAAAAATACGATATATAAAGGAACACGTAAAATGTAACAAGATGCTGGTAAAAATGTCTAAAAATGCCGCGAAATAGACGAGTCCAAATCCTCTCTCGTGCACAGAACTGCAATAATCCATCGACCAATAAGCTCGTAAGATGTAAAATAATTATATTGGACGAATCCATATGGTGTTTTGTTAGTACTAAGCTTTAAACGAAATGGATCAAAATTTGGTGATATCTCCGATCATTAGTACGCAATTTACAGTTTTGTTAAAGCTACAAAAGCATAAGTAACAAAACCAGAACAACTTATAACTTGTAAGCTAATAATCGAAATACTAGTGTTTAAAGATAATGTGACGAAAATACCATTGTTGATGATTTGAGTTTTCATGAAAATTAGTCGATTTTCGAAGAAAACAAATTTTAAAGGAAGTGGATAATCAAGGACACATTTATGGCGCGTTACCTGCGTCATGCAGCTGGTGACTGGCGAAAAGATTGCCAACAATTGGCAGAAATTTAGCGGAACAATGGATTAACAGGTTGAGGGATTAAAAATATCGCAATGAATTTAGGCAATAGCACGTTGCTTGCAGACGTGTATACAAGCAGAATAATTGCGGAAAGCAAAATCAGTCGAAAATGAGTCGAGTGAGTCAAGTCAAGAGGATTGAATTGCATTATGCGAATGGACAAGACCAGAATGAGAAGTAAGGCGTTGTACAAAAAGTTTCTATAGATATTAATAATTTGTAAATAGGTCTCCTACGAATTGTAAGTAAAACCTGTAGTATCCTAAAAATTATAATTCAGTGGCAGGAACATGATCTAAGCAAGTAAGGAATTTGCACTCGCTCGTGACTCAATCATTTATGCCCATCACCGCGATCCTAAAAAGAAAAAAAAAACTAAGTTGGCATAGCTTACAATATTAAATGGGTGGGGCTGGTTTTTTCTATTTGCAAAATACAAAAAGGAGATTTATGTGGTGTGTGCAAAAAAACGCAGAAAGCAAAGACAGTTTTTAATGCATATACATGTGGGCGTTATAGGCGTGTCCTTTGACAGATTTGAGTCATTTTTAAAATCACTTACAAATTTGTACGAACGGAAGAATATTTACCATTGATACTACACAGTTGGGCAGACGGACAAATAAACCGAGGGACATGTTTAGACACATTCCGAATTTAAAGCTGAAGAATTGATATACTTTATGGGCTTTTTGAAGCTTTTTTCTGCGCGATATGAATATATTGAAAGAAAAATTAATTTTTGATACACTACAATATTAGGTAGGCATGGTCAAGTGTACAAGTGCCCATCGCTCATACAATACGCGTTGAAATTTCCATACATTTATCTGCAAAAGTTTATAAGAAATTAGCAAAAAAAGGTTATTTCTTTGAAAACCAGAGGTGATCTCAGTTTACGTGGTGCTATGAACGTGTCCCTCGCTCGACTTGGTCTATTTTGAATGCCAACCTGCGTGCAAGAACTTTCAACGTTTCTGTCAAAGTCGATAGCTTTATTTTTGCGACGAGAAGTATGTTTACACGAGACACTACACAGGCAGGAAAGACAGCCAGATAGATAGACGAACGTACGGACACAATTAAATCGATTTAAAATTTGATGCCAATCAAGAATATATATACTTTTTGGGGGGGGTATGTGATGCCCCCTTCTTGGCGTTGCAAAAGTGTTGACAAATTAAATATACCCCTCATCCTTCAGTGATGGTTATAAAAGAAGTCGTCGAGTAAAAACGTGAAGGTTCACAAACAACGGTTCCCGTTACAATAATATTGATTCGTCAATAGCAGAGTTGATATCGATATGTCATCTTACAAACTTATTATTATATATGTGGTACTTGATGTTTACGGCTTATTGATTTAGAGGACCATATATGAAGTATACAAGTCGTTCCTAGTTTTTTAAAAGGCATTCAATCGCTCAACAATTTCCCGTTCACCTATGTAAATTTGTTGTAACCAAAGTTGAATTTCAATGATAAATTCAATTAACCGACGTTGAATAAAACGTGGATATGTTAAAGGAAACCGAATAGGATAAAAAAAGAAAAAAAAATTAAAAAAAAAAAAAAATGGAGCACTTCTATGCAGAGTAATCAATTATTCCTATTTTACATAAAAATTGAAACAAAAATGATAAAAACTATCTCTTTAAACTCGTACCAATAGAAAATTAATAGAACTACCTTTAGGTATTGGCACTCTCTCCCCTCTTGCGTAAGTAAAGTATTTGCAATTTCAAAATTTTATTGAAACACTTACGGTATCGTAACTTTCGCAAACAAGTCTATCGCAAATAGAGTCTCTCTTTTAAACAATGGGAACGAAAAAGCGATATCCCTATGCCACGGCTCACAATGGATAGATAAACTAATCGTATCTCAATTTCAAGGAAAAATTTTAGTAAAAACAAGTAAAAAACTTATAGTCGACTTATAAGCGACTTACTTCTGATACAGTTATTAACTTGCTTTAGCAATAAGCCACTAAAACTTACAAAGCGATTTCATACAAAGGCACATCTGTCATGAAAGCCGGCATATTGAAGGATACCCAACACATCATCATGTAATGTTATCCAGATTTAGCAAACTCAAGTAACTTTCCGAAGAATTGTTTTATTTTCCGCTTGTCGTCATGCAAAACTAGAAAATATACTTTCTCTCCACATAAGGACTTGCTATTCATGATATTTGACGGACTTACGTAATCCAAAGTCCGTACTGTCACATTTTTTGATTATTTTGCTTTTATGGATCAACGTGAAAAATTAAAACATTTTTCGAAGGGCTTACCACTCATGAGAAACCCTCTACGAAGTGGAGTTCGAAAAATAGACCCAAGCGATTCAAATTTGATTCATTTGATTTTTATGTCAAATTCGTATCATGAACAAGTTCCCGTTATCCCAACACTAATCGTTAGGGCTTGTAAAGGCATGTAAAAATTTACTTTACGTCAGAATCGCTATATGCGGTGATATCCAAAATAATAGACCTATATGATCCAATTACATTAAGGATGATTTCTTTGTCAATTTATTCGCGAAATAGCAGAAATTAGATTAGAATTACAGAAGGGGCTTAAAAAGTTTCCCTAGCCGATCCAAAATTTTCACATCAACTTGGCATGCCGAAATACTATTAATTCAGCGACTTTTTTGGAGAAATATTGAAAATTGCAAATTTTTTTCATACAAGGAGAGGGAATCTTCCCTTAGATCGAAACACGTCAATATATCTCAAAAATTACGACCTATAGGTTGAGTATCAAATTACAAAGACAATCATCAGGCGGACAGACAGCCTTAGATCGATTCAGAAAATAGTAAAATTTGAGGCTACCTGAACGCCTTCCAAGCCAAGTCGTGCAGGGTATAACTATAGTTTAACTGCTCCGTAGAACATGACAAGTTTTGCATTCAACACACCAATGGAATTAATTCCTTTGCGAATTTGCCTCCACTACTCGTAGACAATTGTTCAAAGATAATTCATAACCACATAGATAATCCACTTAAAATAAAGCCTTTTAATAGATTAAATGTTGAATTATTTTACGAATTCGTTTTTGTGTTTTTTTTTTTTTATTCGTATTTTTTGTGTGTTTTGCACTCAATGCCTTACATTTGAAAAAAACTTTATAATTATGTTGAACGCAAATAGAAAACCCATCCATCAATAATTAAAAATTAAGCATTTAATAGGATTTCAATAAAAACTCCTATAAGTATAATATAAGATCGTTTACGCACGATATCTGTATTGATAAGGGGTCGTTTGTGTTCACGCATTAAGTTGTATTGTTGCTTGTGTTCTTAATAAAGGCAAAATTGTTTCAATTTATTGCACACATATACATATGTGCATGCATATACGGTAAGTAGCTCAAAATTCATTTTTTTAAATGCTTTAAAAAAAATGCATTGTAAGCATTTATATCGTTGCTGCTTGTTGGGGAGCTTACGTAACTTTCAATCGCCTTTTAGCGCACTTAAATACTGGTTACCAACCGATTTAGCTTTAAATCCTTAAGGTGACATAAACACAACAAGCATACAGTAAAACTCGTTTAATTCTGAAGATATTTTTTTTTTTATTTATTTTTTTTTACTTTTTTTTTTTTTTTTTTTTTTTTTTTTTTTTTTTTGCTATGGAAAATTTTAAATTTTTGCGTAAAAATCGTAAGGTTTTTCCAAGTGCATAAAATAATATTAAAAAAAAAAAAAAAAATTGAAATACAATTTTTTAAATATTTGACACATACACGACTCCTTCCGTCCTTCTTCTATTCAGTGCAAATGCAAAATAAATAAATCAACAATTGGCTTAAACGGTGAGACTTTTAAATTAAAGTATACGTTTCCTTTTTGAATATCCGAAGAAACGAACCAAACTGTTTGAAAACACGTCTGTAACTAAAGTAAAAGTTGTTGGATTGTCTTAACTCTCTGGCCGTTATATGAGAAGCAGGCAGCTCGATATGTTTTTTCTTTTCTTAAATCTTTATTGTCAAGAAACAAAAGCTACATGAGGCAGTGTGTTTTTAAGACGCCCGCAATTCAAAAGCTTAAAAAAGAAATAAAAAGAAAAAAAAAAGAGTACTTTACTCTGATTCGCAAGAAAAAAAAAAAAAAAAAAAAAAAAACGAAAAAAAAACAAATGAAACGATCGCTCTGATCGCTGATCGCTGATCGCTGATCACTGTTGCCCATGCGCCCGTAAGAGCAACCTAAGCAGGCGAAAATGAAAAGAAAGATTTTTACAGACACGTCTGGTTGAAAATTGATGATGAGACGATGATGACATGGATTTTTCCAACCATCAGTTATGGCAGCAAATAGTTTCAGCATTGCAATTAAATTTAATTGAATTTAACGCTAATATTTATGATATACGATTTCCATGCCTATATTAAATCTCATTTATCATTTTCGTTCGAGTATTAAAAATTGGAAATTTTTCATACAACATTTTTCATTTCAATGTTAAATCTACAAAAATTTCCCCAGCTTGTTAAATATATTTCTTTACATTTACATTATATTATTATTTTCGTTTTAGAGTTTCTTTCGTAACTATTTTGCTTTCAATTACCCATTGTTTTTCAAGCTCTTCAAGCTACCTTTTTTTCAAACAAAAAAAAAAAAAAAAAAAAACAAACGGATATTGCGACAAAAAAGCCGTTAAAGAAAAGCTTCTCATTACAATTATCATCTTAAGCGAAACTAACAGCACAACAAATCCACAACTAATTGATTAAGATTTTTATTATGATTTCGATCCATTGTTTCTTTGTTTACAAAAAACAATAGGGCTATAAAAAAAAAAAACAAAAAAAAAAAAACATCGCTCACGTACACAATGGTAGTAAAACAAATAAATTTGTTGTTTGTTGCTTACAATTGCCGTAACAACAATTAACACATTTTCCATCATCATAATACTGATGAAGACGTTGATAGTGACTTAAAAAAATATACAACACATACGCAAATAATTGATGATGCAGCAGCGTTAATGATCATCATCATGCTAATGATTTTACATTTAGTTAGGCAGGTATATACGCCTCTACGGCAAAAGTTATAAACACTGATAACCCCTAAAAAATATATGTGAAAATTACAAAATATTATATAATCGTTTTAATCACATTATAATACTTTTATATAGTTCGACAATTGATTCTTGATTCGGATCATTTCACACCCCTACTCGCAAAACTTTTCTCCCAATTGCAGATTCCTAATAACAGAGAGAATCGACGAATGGACAGACAGAAATTATTAAAGATCAAAATTACATACTAATTATAATTCTATAGAATCTACCTAACTTCTAACACGTATTTCAAATGACGTTCCAAATTTTGTACACTCATTTTCGGAGGGAGTCTGAAGTAGCACTGCTAGTATCACTTTTCGTTAGCCGCCTTGTTTTTTCCGATCCTTTCACTTCGTGTCGTTCTTGCCACGGAACGAGAAATATTGGGGTGCCAGAAGTTACAGAAAGTGAAGGATAAAATCCTTCAAGTCCCCCTCTTCTACGTGAAATAATAATATATGTCTCTCACATAAGTTTTATTTAATCCTTTTCCAAGCCTACATCACCACATGTGATATAAGGAATATGTAATACATAAAAGGAACTCCTATAGACTCATCCTCATTTATATCTGTCCATCCGATATTTGTTTATGAAATTTGATATACTGAGACTTTTTAACCCAAGTACAAGACAGCTTGAAAATGAACTCGATGGGAATACTTCTGTGACTTCATTTTTTGATTGAAGAATTTGAAATTTTGAAAAATTCATGAGAGAAATCGTTCAGTATTAGTACTGCGGTGTAGTAAATTGATATAAAAAATTCAGATTCGATCAACTGATTTATTCAAATTTTTCCTCTAATAACTAACTGTTCAAGCCAAAGGAATCTAATTCTCAATATTATAAATGACAGTTGGTCTATATTAATAATTTGATATAAAAATTATTTATTTTTTCAATGCGAACTAAAAGGGTTAATTTTTTGGACTTCGCCTCCACCTCATATAGAAGTTCTCACACAAAATTAAGCCTTTATATGATGAAAAAAGTCGAACTTTCCATATTTCATGATGAAAGTCAACCCGTGATGGTATTTTGACATAATAACCAACTGTCACTTGGACCATGGTCTGCCTTTTTAGCTCAATTCACAATAAAGCGCAAGATTTTTGTACGATAACAAGACATAATTTGTATGACAAAAATGAATAAAGAATTGTATTAGGCGTGGTGTTGTAATAGTATTTCATGGTTGACCATACCCGGTTATAAGGTTTTTACTTGTTTTTAATATAACAACACTTTTGAAGATAAATTAATCAGGATTATATCTTCTATTACTATCTATAGCCTAAAGACTTCTTCTATTCGTTGTACCGTTGAATGCCATTTGCACTATCAAATGTTAACTCAAGGATTTTGAGGGCGTTCTAGTCGTCAAAGATTGCGGTAGATAGCTATTTGTATAGCTCAAGGCATTAATTTGACTTTATCCGTTACCTCGTCTCAGTTAATTAGTTTCATTTACCTGAAAGACTTAATCTATAGAAAAAATAGTATGCAGTGTTTTCCGCTCGTCGATCTTGAACCCCACAAAAACTTTCCCTTCTTTTTTAATGAAAACATTCCTTAATACGTGACTAGACGGGATCTTTTCCTCTCTTTTATATCAGTGGAACGATGCCATTTGACATCTGCATCACTATGAGTGGCAGTAAGCAAATTTACATTTTTTGATATTCGCGAGTTTCGCTTATTTTAACTTTAGTCGACTTATACCAACTCTTGCCGGAGAATTTTTTTAGATGTATTCTTGAAGAGAAGACTTCAAAGGAGATGCAAAGTCTTCATATCATTACCAATCAAAATGTGACTTATCTCCGTTCAGAAAATAATGTCAAAAGATCATTTTTCGAACCACATGTCACATTTTTCTTATGATGCTCTAAATGCCTTTTTTTCTTTAGGGAATGTGTCTCCAAATTCAACTTAGCCAAGTAAGATTGGCATTCATCTTTCCGCTCTTTTCGTTTTTCGCTTTTGTGACTTTAAATCTGAAATTTTATTGTCCAATCTATTATATTATTTATTCTTTCCCATTATATAAGGTGTGGCTAGCTCCAAACATAATCACAAATCTAAATAATTTAATATTCATTTTTCTTTCTTCTTCAATGTATATGTATAATAGCGGTATATTAAATATGTCGCTTGATATGTTTTTCTATAACTAAGCATAAGTGATTAATGATATATTATGGAAATTTTTATAAATCTTTAATGTGTATAAAATCACCTATAATCCATATTTAATGCTGTATACGAATATACATCGTTAAGTCAATAAGCCCATATTGTGGATATCAAGCGCTAAATACTGTGGGTTGGATGACATCTGTGTTTATCAATGTTTCACAACACCTTACAGAAACCTATCATTTTGTCCACAAAAAATTTGTTATTGTAATAGGCGCTTATAAGAAGCAAAACAGTCGTTCCAACTATATATAATAATCATTTTCTCACAATTGTATTTTTTGCGCGTCAGTTAAAAACAATTAATGTCTCATGTAAAATTTAAATATACTTTTTTTTTTGTTTTTATTTTATATCATAAATTGATTTCCCAAGAAAATAACACCAAAGACCTTCAGACTTATAAAATTTAATATTAAATCACCTCCCATCTCCCTCCCTCTCTCTCTCTCTCTGTCTCTCTCGCTTATTTATTTACAGTTCAAGTGTAAATATGTATGTAAGCCAAAACCTGCACTGAAAAGCATATGCACTTGTGAATGAACAACAACAAGCAGTGCTTCAATATAGTTTATGTTTTATAATAAACAACTTACAAATCTTACAAGCTACTTCTCCAGCATAATGAATGCGTATGGTTACGAAAATGCTTATTATTTCATATAGTATCTCGTCGTCTTTAAAATGAACTATAAAACCGATTTGAAACGAGGATAAAATCACTCACCAATATTTATTTGTTTCCTCCATTTTGCAAACGATTAACTTTTAGTTAACAAGCAAAGAATTTATTCTTATATTTCCGTTTTGCCAGACGAGCTGACTTGCAAGGTTCCCTTAGAAGTCCCGGCTAAAGGGTGAATGTTTTTAATGAAAATATGTTTTTTTTCCGAAAATCCGTTATTGATTTTGTGAACAAATTGCTAATTATTTCCAAACTTGGTGAGTAAAATTAAGTCAAGAATGTGTCAGCCAAAAGTTTCGAGTTTTTACCATTTTAAGAATTTCAACAACATCCAAACGAACAATCGAAAATAGCCAAACATATTAATGATTCAATATTGATGATAATCTATAAATTGATTTTCTGATTGATTATCTGAGACGTATTTTTGAATGGTAGATGGGTAGCGACAAAACCTGTATAATATACCGCCAACTTTCACAGTGATGGGTAACAAAATCAGCGTTTGTCATATTACACCTCCATAAAAATTCTTTTGCTTATTGCATTTTATAACTTACGCTCCTAATCTTCATGTTCTCGTTTAATTGCTTTTCTGTAACACCATCGGTCAGACATTCCCGCTCTCTCTCTCTCTCTCTCTCTCTCTCTCTCTGCTTTGAAATGATCATAATTAATAATCTTTTCATAAACCAGTTTGCATCCATACATACGAAGAGAGTACCAAATCTTTTTTGCTTTCTTTACCAGTTTCGTTTAATGGATAGTTTCTTCGTAATTTTACAAATTTATTTATTAACTACATACAGACGTAATATATGGTAAGCAGCAGTTAATCGTCAACTAAATGTAAAATTTGAAGAGAAGAAAAAAAAAAAAAAGACAAAGTGTTGGTTACACAAAAAAAGAAATTGATTAATGTTTTCAAATGTTGACATTCATTCATTTAGTTGCGTTTATATGGAATTTGTTTTCGTTTAATTAAAATTCGCGACGATGATATTTATCGGGATCGAAATATGAGGTGACCACAACACGGTCACTAAATTTACGGCCCGTTAAAGCTTGTTGAGCCTTTTGGCAATCCATTACAGAATTGAATTCAACAAAGACTTTACCGCAACCTGGCACGTCAACTCCCTCGATAGGACGGGGTATCTCCACGCTACGTACAACTCCGTACTTGTTGCATTCCTCTTTAATATCTTCCAATATATCTTCGTATTCCTCCTCATCGCGCAATTCATCGGGTGTAACCATATTAAGGAGACATAAGACTTCAGTAGGAGGACCGGATATACCAACCATAGATAGACCAGGTACTTGTATCATAACTGGTGCAGCGGTAGTATGATTATTTTGAGCATTTTTAGCTCCTACACTGGCACGTTGAACGATAAGCTTCTTGTCACCTAATTGCATGCCATTCAGACCAGCAATGGCCTGCGATATCGATAATAGAGAAACTTATTACTAAAAATTTATCCAGACAGTTTGTCATAATTCAATCGTTTTACCTGGTCAGTTATACTGTGATCTATATATTCACAGAATGCATATCCTTTACTTAAACCGGTGGCAGCGTCCTTAACCAAATTAAAAGCTCTCAACTGGCCAAAAGACAATAAAAGTTCTTTAACCTATTAAGCAGAAATAAACAACATATACACCTATGTAGACATTCCATATAAGTGTGTCTTTAAAATGCTTTCGATTCTTAATTAAAAAAAAAAAAAAATATATATATATATATATATAATAAAAACAATAAGTTGTTTAAGAGATATCTGTCTTCAACTGTTACTGAGAAGTGAGCTGAAGAGACCATCAGCCGATCACTAAATTGGAAAACCTAGAAAAAATCAAACGCGCAGTCGACCATAATTTTTGATATCATTGTGATCTAAGAGGAGAGTGAATCAAGCAATTTCATGTATGCACCCTGGAATCTAAGCTAAGAAGAATATTCAAAAAATATGTAAATGATTTGTGTGCAAAATCATGTAGAAACTTGCCTTCAATTTGTAGTGAAAATTTTTCGGGTGTGTGTGTTTTTTTATAAAGAGCTGAAACTGCTTGTCTTGGCAGTTAGGTAGTGCAGGGGACTCAAGAGATTTTTTTTAGCACAACAGAACTTGAATTACAGCACAACACCACCACCACCTAAGCTACAAGAACACAACATATACAACAATTATTAACATCATATTTTTAACTCAACAACAAGTAATGTTCACACTTAAGATTTTTTTTAAATGTTGCTTTGCTTTCTCCTGCTGAAAATATAGTATTTTTTCCTTTTTTTTTTGCAATTTTTTTTTTTTTGTTTTTGTTAAAACCTTGAAAAAGAAAACCTATAAACTTTTATCTGCAATCTTCAAGTTAAGCTGAGTTTGCAGTACGCAGTTAGTTACCTGATCCTCATTGAGATAATTGGGTAGACCTCCAATAAATATTTTATGTGGCGAATCGGGTACCACAGCCGAAATAACGCCATTTGCTATTAAGTAAATTTTAAATCCATTAAATTTCCAATTCATTTAAAGATAAAGAAATAAGAAAAAGCGGATAGGATATGTTTTGCTTACCGACTGGTTGCGCCACCGGGGTTGACTCAACCACACCGGGCATTGGTTGATAATCATGAGGTCGTCGTATTTTTAAGCTTTGACCCTTAAAACTAATGCCATCGAAAGCCATTGCTTGGGTGGTCTCATCGGTGGAACGAAACTCCAGAAACGCGAAATTCTTATCCAAATTAATTTGACAAGCCAATACCGGATTACCCGCCGCTTGAGCCAATCCAGTTAAATGCATTTGTTGATTGAAGAATTCCATCATTTCGTCTTCAGTTACCCCGAAAGGTATGTTTCCGACATAGAGTCGCCGTGCCTGACGCGTTATAGTTGAACCAACCACCGGTACAGCGGCTTGTGGTATTTCTGGCAAAGCATTAGCTGGTATCTGCCCAGCTGCTTGCATTGCTTTGTATTGCAATGGTGTAATGTGCTCAAAACCAGGCGGCGGCACATCCCAATACAAAGATGGTTTACGACGACGACTGCGTCTATTGCGATCTCTCTCACGATCATCCCGTCGACGATCGCGATCGCGAGAACGAGAACGCCGTCTGTCCCTGGAACGAGAGCGAGTTCTGTGCCGGCGTCTGTCACGGTCTAAAATTAAGAACACCACATTTTAATTGCTGCCACTAACAATTTACATCCGCAAACGTGAACACTAACAATGATCCAATTTACTTACCGTCTGCACCCATTTTTTTAATCTATTTTATTTATATTCACAAGCACTAATAAATCTTTGCAATAACGCAGAATTCTTTTTCAATATTTGTAACAAAATGTGATAACTTTTATAGATTTATGCGTGCTTCGCTGTGTAAATATATTAAGTAGGCATCAAAGATTTTTGTTGCTGCGTTTTAAAAGAATAAATGATATGGAAACACATCACAGGGTGAAGCAGATAATCTTTATTTATATTGCAATGTCAAAACAACCATTTGTTTTATAAAGCAACCTCTTGCTAAGAAACATTTTAACTTCGATACAAAAGATATCTAAAAATCGTTTCTTGAAAGGTAAATGATGCCAAAAGTTCTACGCAAATGAAAATGGTAATTGAAAAATATTTGTCTCGTAAGCATTTATAATTTGTACGGTAAATGTAAATGTTTTTTCAAAATTTCTTCACGTAATGAAAACCTCAGACAGTTTATACTTTTAAAAATAATTAAAACCAATAAATGCCTTTATAATGCATTGATATGTACCGTATACAAAAAACATAAATTTACATTTCTTTAATTTGTCACTATCATCTAACTAATCGTAACGTCACGTAACGTGGCGTAAATGTTTAAAACATGTCTTTCTCTTTCTTAAGCTAAATAACTTTATTACTTTGCATTTAGCTATACTGGTGTAACAAACAATATGCATTATTTAATTGCGATGCAAAAAACTGGACTTGAAGTAATTCCATTTTTCAAACGATTTCATTTTTATATATGTTGATCTGTAATAATATTTAATGGAAAATATGCAGTATGTACATAACAAAGAGTTAATTCGGTTATTTATCAGTTAAAAGGACGCTTTTGGGAATACTACCAGAATCGTTGTTGTTTTTTTTTTGTTTTGTTTTTTTGTTTCGAAAAAACACTCTTTGGTAGGCGGTATTCGTGGTCTCCATTTCATAATGATATGTCCTTCTATTATGTATAATGTTAGACATTGTAAGTTGACGTAGCAGATTTGTCACTTCGGAGTCGCGAGAGTCGCCAGAGTTGCAAGATTCTGTCAATAATCAGTGTCAGTTACATCAGATTGAAACTTTTTAATAAAACTTGAAATTTTACTGCTTTTGTTGATGTCAGCCACTTATCTGTTCAAGATGTCCGTATATTGAAGCATAACTTATTCTGGAACTCTGTTCGCTGATATATATATATACATGTAAACGAGTTTTTGAGATCCAATGTACGGAAACATATATATATATACCTTATAATTACAGCTGATTACTATTATGAATTGTTTACATAAATAAATAGAAAACAAAAATAATAGCGCTTACGACAAAAATAAGAGGGCTTGCGATTAAATTGTTAACAATTAATAGAGAGAGACAAAACCGGTATGTTTTGTTACTGTTTTCTCATTTTCGTTTTTGTTTTCTTCGTACGAAACTGTATTTTTTGTAAACATAAACATACTAGAAAATAACGACTATGCTTTATCTTAAAAGAATATACAATCTCTACAAAATGTCAATATTGCTTTTGTCAAAACTATTGTTTTGAAAGTGTATTGAAAACAAATAACTTATAGTAATCAATTGCAGATTAGGCAGAAAGGAAAATTTATTTAATTAAGAAAAGTAAAGAAAAACAGTAAAATATATATGCACGGGAATGGGCTACGATGGTAAGTAAAAAATAAATTCTATTCTGTCGACTTGTGTCGAATCTATTGGACATTTTAAGGGAAAATGTATCCCGAATTATTTTTGCATAGTTTGTGAATACTTTAAATCGTTTTTTCATTCATTCATAAATAATCTTAGAACGTAAACGTCGTCGCTCCAAATCTAACACGCGATCTCGCTCCAGATCACGTGAATATCATCATCGCAATCAAAGTGGAAAATCACGCGACCGCTCGCGGGACCGCAGACGTCATAAGTTGTATCGGCGAAAGCCTTCTTTGTATTGGGATGTACCTCCGCCAGGGTTTGAGCATATTACCCCTATGCAATATAAAGCCATGCAGGCGTCCGGTCAAATACCTGCAAGTATTATCCCGGACACTCCTCAAGCGGCAGTACCTGTGGTAGGCTCAACGATTACACGTCAAGCTCGGCGACTTTATGTGGGCAATATACCGTTCGGCGTTACCGAAGACGAGATGATGGAATTCTTCAATCAACAAATGCATTTGGTGGGTTTGGCTCAAGCGGCCGGTTCTCCAGTTTTAGCATGTCAAATCAATTTGGATAAAAATTTCGCTTTTTTGGAATTTCGTTCAATCGATGAAACAACTCAAGCTATGGCTTTTGATGGCATCAATTTCAAAGGACAAAGTTTAAAAATCAGAAGACCGCACGATTATCAGCCTATGCCTGGCATGACAGACACTCCTACAGTTAAACCGGCAGTAAGTAAGTAATAATTTTCTATTCCAATATATATATATATATATATATATATATATATATATATATATATATACATATATTGTATGTTAAAAATGTGATTTTTAATTGCAGTTACAACTGGCGCCATATCCACTGTCGTGCCGGACTCACCGCACAAGATATTCATTGGCGGTTTACCCAACTATCTTAACGATGACCAGGTATGTTTTCTTCTGAAGACTTTATTGCACTTTTCTAATGTTGCCATTGCATTAAAGTCGCGACACGTGGAAATTTCTTTTTTCGATTTTTTTTTTAATTTATTTATTTTTTTTTTGTAGATTTGTACAAAATTTGCTTAAATAGCCAATGAAATTAAGAATTTTTTTTTTTTTTGTTTGTATAAAGGAGACGCAAGCAATTTATTTGATTATTTAAAAAGTATACTGCAAGCGGTACAAGCGGTGCTTCATTAATTTGAAGTGAATAATTTATGATCGCCGCGATTTAACGAATCTTATGCTATGATAGATAATGATGATTGTTCTTTAAACATATAATATTTTCAGCTTTTAGTGAGGTGAAATTTTCAAAAGGTATCTATTTTATATAACCTTTCAGGAAGAAGTACTGACAGCAGTGTATAAAATGCTGTCATTATAATTTTTGTATTTGGTTGCGGCTCAGTTAAAATTTCATGGCCAGGCGGCTGAGTCCTTACATGCTGAACCGAAAACCAGGGTTAAAAATACAGGAAATTTCCGTTTTTCAGCTTATCGGCAAGGAAGCTGTACAGTTTCTTTATGACCTGGGTTTCGTTCGTCCTCTTTGCATTTTTTCCAATGTTTAGGTCCGATTACTTTTTTTTTTTTTTTGCAGCCATTTATTACAAACTTTGTTTACAGCTTTCACTTCTACCGTTCATTGTGTCCTGTATAAAAGGAGCGTACGTCGCCACAGCACTGTATAGCAGTTTACTTATATTTAAATGAAATAAACTTTCTCGTTTACAGCATTCTTTTCCAGCATATATATTCAAAATAATAATTCTTTATTATTTCAGCGAAACGATTTCTCAATTTTCAGAAAAGCAAATTTTCATTTTCTTTTACAGCATTTATTTAATTATTGTAGATTAGTTTATGCCGAGCAGCTCCCTAAATACAAATAACAATGAACAGCATAATTTGATGTTCAATTGAAATATATTTGTTTTGTTAAACATAGAGCGTTTGCCTCTAAACACATTTGATATCAATCAATCAATCAATCAATTCAATGAAATATTCCCTTCTCTATAACTAAAAAACCCGGAAAAATTTATTCTCTTACTACTACTACTACTACTACCACGATATTAAAAAGGCAAGTTTATTAACAAAAAGTAAGAAACATAAACGTATAAACAAGCGTAAGAGTGTGTTTGTTTGTTTAAGATTTTCAGTTAAATAAAGTTAAGTATTCAATTAAAGCGTTCATACAAAATAAAACAAAAATGTCTCATTTGAAGTTATATTTGGATGATAATTCTCTTGACTTGTAAGACATTTTTGTTTTTCCTCCCTCTCCTACCTACCGTTATCAACTATTCTAACATTAGTTAATATTATCTTTTCCTTACAAATTCTCAATAGGTTAAAGAGCTTTTACTGTCTTTTGGTCAATTGCGGGCGTTCAATTTGGTGAAAGATACCGCCACCGGCTTAAGCAAAGGCTATGCTTTCTGTGAATATGTTGACCTAACCATAACCGATCAGGTAATATAATGCATTCATATTTATCCAATAGGACACGTTCATTTATAAAAAAAAGAAGAAGAAGAATATGTCATGTGATGAGCCCATTGTTCTCTAACTAAACTAAAAGGAAACTAACTCCAGCCTTAGTCATAAAAAATGCATTTTTTGTACAAAACTGGTCCGACTACATCGCAATCACATTAAAATTTCCTACAATCAAGTTGCGTGCAACTAACCGGAAAAAAATAAATGCTTCTTGTCTCACCTGGTTTAACATCTATCTTAACTATTGCAGCTTCATAGCTTGTAATTTAGGAAAATCAAAAATGTAAAAATCCTTCGGCTGCCTATATCGCTATAAACACCATACTAGAAGATGTAGGGGATAGCTTTCCTCACTATGGCATAATCGAGTGTCCCAAGGAAAAGGCAACTTCATAAATTGATACGTGGCTTTTTTACCGTATCAAGGATATGCTTCTTTTGTGACCTAGAGATCGGGCGATGTAACTTTACTTTGCATCACAACGGCAACCTAAATCTTAACTTCTTCTTCTCTTTTAGATATTAGACAATAGCAACTGTAAGATTCTTGATAATATCATTTTTTTTCTTTAGGCCATAGCTGGCTTAAATGGTATGCAATTGGGGGACAAGAAACTGATCGTGCAAAGAGCAAGCGTTGGCGCAAAAAATGCTCAAAATAATACTGGTACCGTGGCTCCAGTTACCATACAGGTACATCATTTATTTAAAAGCAAAAGTTGTTGATTTTTCTTTGTTTGTTTGTTTGTTTGTAGGTACCCGGCTTGGCCACGTTTGTCAATTCGAGTCCTCCTACCGAAATTTTATGCCTTCTTAATATGGTTACACCTGATGAACTACGTGATGAGGAAGAATATGAGGATATTCTCGAGGATATTAAAGAAGAGTGTAATAAATATGGTGTGGTACGTAGCGTGGAGATACCAAGGCCAATTGAGGGGGTTGATGTACCGGGTTGTGGTAAAGTTTTTGTGGAATTCAATTCCGTTATGGATTGTCAAAAAGCTCAGCAAGCTTTAACGGGCCGTAAATTTAGTGATCGTGTTGTTGTCACCTCATATTTCGATCCCGATAAATATCATCGTCGCGAATTTTAAATTAAGTTTCAATTTCTCGAATCATTTTTTTTTCTGTGATTCATACGGAATTCGTTTTTAATTAAATTTTTAAGCAAACGCGAAAATATATATATATTTAATAAAATTTCGCAAAAGTGACATTTCAAAATGAGAAATCTATGCGCACACCATCTGCTCGAGAATAGCAATGAAATTTGCTTCATTGAAAAATATACACGTATTTGCATCACATACATACGTACATATCAACTTTCTAATTTTTGATGGATGAGTCTTCAAAATGTAAAAGTTTGTATTGAATTTTTGGCAAAGTATTACAAACCACTGGTATATGCGTTACACTATTGATTACCATGTACAACTAAAATGTTAACAACTGATCCTTGCCGAGCCGGAGTGATTGATGCTGTTTCGCGTTAACACCGTTTGATCAGAGGGTTCTCGAAAATCACATAGCGTAGATCGTGTTCAGCATGCCGCAATCTACTACAACTAATAAAATCTGTAAAGTTGTCTCTTCTTCCTTCTAAAAAAGAAATGTCCACGTTGAAAAATCCTTTAATGAATTATAAGCGGATGATTTATCTAATTGTTCGAGCGATTTTTAACTAAATATCACATCTCAATGACAATTGATGCACTTACAATTAATTAAATAAAATTTATTTGTAATAAGCCATTACAAAAAAAAAAAAAAATGTTTATTTATTCCCAAATAATAGTCAGCGATAAGGCATAATTTCTGAGCAAAATTGCTGGACGTGTGAAAGAGATACCAGAAATAGAATACTAAAGATCGCCTACAACGGCATTAGGATATATTCTACTTCCAATCTACATTTTGCCTTTAAGTTAGAATTTGGTGCGAAAGAAAAAAAGCTATTCCAATCATTTGAGCACATGGCTCCAAATATATCTCCCAATTTTTTAAAAATTCAATTTCTTCAGTCCAGCGTTTCACAACAAAAGAAATCATTTCAGTTCTCATGATATTGATACGTAACACAGCAAATATTGAATTTTTATAAATTTAAAAACTGGAATCGGTTTACGGTTCTCAATATCGATTTACTTGTTAACCAGAGTTAGGATAAGTATCCGAATGCGGCGTATGAGTGTCTGCTCCGAAGCAATTTGTGTGAGCGACAAAAAATGCAAATATAGGGTTATTAGAGAGTAAGAGAGTACTTTGAAATTATGATTCGCAGTTCTCTGTTTGGCCGATATATGCCAGTAAAAAAAGAGACGATTTTTACATAAACCGGCCTCTGCTAAATTTCTCAATATTCAAACCTTCAGACCTTTATGCATTTCCTCTAATTCTTTATATTTGCATTTTATCTGTGATAATGATGAAATATAAACCATAGATGGACTTAAAACGGAATTATGAACATGATGTGCAAAAATACTCGTGTTCCTGTTTCAATTATATGCGAATAGAAAATTCAAAATAATGTGAAAATTTATTATAAAAATTAATTTAACATTCATTGCACCCTCTTTATGAATATAATATAAATATACTGTGTTGTAAAAATCTCTAATGAAATTGAGAAGAAGATAAAGTCTTAGAGTAAAATGGAAAAAATTTTGAATACCTTTGTGTACCTTTTGCTTGCCTATTTGAAATGGATTAAGTAAAGGCATAATTATAAGATATTTTTTAAATATAAAAATGGCTTTTGATTGCCTTATATGGTGCACTTTTTATTACACATCTGTATGAGGAATTTGATGACTTCTGCTTCATCAAAGTGAACAATCGGCAAACGCAAAGAAGAAATCAATTGTCGTTTCTATAATCGTCCGGCAATTCGTCAAAGTGTTAGTCTATATAACATGAAAAATTCATCGTTATTCTTAAAAATGAAAACTTTAATTGAATTGTATTTTTGTGTAAATTCAAACATTCATATCCGCCATTTGTATTAATTTTGTAATCGATGCTGGCAACTCTGTTTTCAATCAATGAAAGAATATTGCCATTGCAAAATTGCTTTTGGTAATTATCAGGAAAAAAAAATCAGAAATATCTAGAAAGATATTTTACGTATCCAATAGAAAAATTGGTAGAAAAGTCAATTTATTCAGAAAATAATTAGAAATTCGTTTAAAATCCGTTCAACCGTATACTAAAATAACTGATTTGAGTTTTACGTATTAAAGCGTTGAATAATTGGAAATATGGCCGCACCCTTCGCTTCCGAAGATTTGGAAAAATTAAAAAAATTTATTGATTTTGTTAGCCAAAATCCATTAATATTGAATATGCCGCAATTGGAATTTGTGAAAATATTCATAGAGAAATTTGGTGGCAAGGTGCCGGAAGGGACTTTTGAAATGCCGGCCGGAGGGTAATTAATATTAATTCATTTGCATGCGTATGTGTGCTGATTTAAGAAATCCATGTGTTTGCAGAAAATGCCCTTTTGGTGGTAACATCAAAACTGAAGCTAAAACTTCGTCAGTTCCCCACGAAGAAGAAAACAGTGCTGAGGCTGAAATGGATGTGGAATCGGATGAATCCGAAATTGAATTGGATATGGAAGGTATGTGCATATTTAAATGTTTAACATTTTGCGAATGTTATAATCTGTACTTATTTAGATGGATTGAACTGAATTAGGTTTAAGTTGTTTTTTTTCATGGTCAATAAGAGAAAAGCATAAATTTTTTTTTTACTTTTCACTTAAATTTGGAAGAGCAAGGGATAGGTTTCTGCCCCTGTCCATCAAAAAGATCACATTATAGCTGATAAGTGCTTTCTTTTTGTACGCTCCTATTTATATGTTTGCAGTGGCCAGTGCTCGCCCTACAGAAAATAATACAACCACAGATACAACGGAAACGGCAAATGTGGTTTATTTAGAGGAAAAGCCTTATAAACGTTGTAACAGAAAAAGAAAGTCAATGAAATCTGAAAAATCCAAACGCAAAACAAAAACAAAAATTGCAAAGAAGAAAGTGAGGTGCTTTAATAATGTTAATATGGACCCATTATACACATCAGAAATTTTGATAAAAACAGAACAAACTGATGATGAAGAATTGATAGGGCAATCATCCAGATATAATAATCCAACGCATATCGACGATTTGCTTGATGACAAAGATGCTGACTTTGTACTTGAATCTGATAGAGATGACGAACCTCTAATAATGCTGCGCAAGAAAAGGGGAAGACCTGCGAAGTATCCGCCTAGAGATGATTTGTTTGACGATCGAAGACGGAAAGAGCCGCGGCCAATCATTTGTGGAAGTTTATGCAAACAAAAATGTGCGGAAAAATTCACTGAAAAGCAACGCATACTAATGTGCGATCATTACTGGAACCTTAGTCGAGAAAAACGTATCGACTACATACGCAGTCATACGAAAGCCAAACGTTCTATTAGATTAAGGCGTAGAGGTGAATGTAAACGAAATAATGTGTGTGTCTATTATTTGGAAGATGTTGCGCTGCAAAATGCAGCGCTAATAAGAGTTTGTAGATCGTATTTTGAAGCGACGTTGCGCTTATCACATTACGATATTAAAAAGGCTTTAGATGGTTTTGAACTACAACCGGAATTGGAGGTAAAACCTGTGATAATTGAGACTAAGGAAAGTCGAAATTATCGCAATCAATACACAAAACGGAAGGAAATTGAACAAACATTGGACCCTGTTACCGGAAATCTAGTACCATTATATACTTGCACGTCTGAAAATATCACAAATCTTTCCAGTACTGATGGTAGCAAACTTAAAAAGAAACGTATACGCCGAGATCCTACTCAACCAGTAGCTCGCTCGCCACGACCGATTAACTGTGCTGAACGCTGCATATATAAATGTCATACAAAATTCACTGAAGAGCAGAGACAACAAATATGTTCCAATTTTTGGACCATGGATTATAAGCGACGCAAAGACTTCATTTTATCACGCGTGGAAACTAGAGAAATTCTCTATGAGACTACACCGGAATTTCGTAAATCAAATCGGCCCCCACGTACCTATCATACTCGATTTTACTTGCGCGCTGGTCTGCACGGTGAAAACCAGCGCGTATGTAAGAGTTTTATGATGGCCACATTACGTATCGGTCATCATTTTATATCGAACGCCTTACAATTCGCTGATCAAACTACAGGCTATTATACGGGTGGTGATAGGCGAGGTCAGCATACGCCCGGCAATAAAATAAGTAGCGAACGTATAGAGGAAATAAAGCAACATATTGCTGCATATCCTACATGGATGCCTAATAAGAAGAGTAAAACCCGTTATCTCCATAGTTCGTTAAGTATCAAGCGTCTCTATATTGATTATAAGGAAAAGTGTATAGCTGAGCAAAAGAAATTTGTTTCCAGCAATTTCTTTTACGGAATTTTTCATAACGACTTCAAATTGGCCTTTTTGAAACCAATCGCTGCGAAAGAGGAAAATGTAGGTAACAAAGGTTTCATTAATTCAAATCCTCATATATCCAATTATACGGGCGAGGAGCCCGGAGGATATTGGTCTAACTCAAAAGGCGATAAATTAAATCCGCTCATAAACAATCTTGTAACGCCATGTTCATTAAGTACGTTGCATCAAATACCAAATGTTATGCCTACTGTCTCTTCTTCTTCTTTGTGCTTATCACAAACCTCTAGTTCAACGTCTTACAATCAACCTATAAATTATTCGTCACACTTAGAAAATTATGGAAGCTCCTTAAGTGTCAATCAAGTGTTAACTTCTACTCTGGCGAGGTCAGAAAGCTTTAATCAACCATTATTCGAGGCCTCCCATACCGCCTCAAATATATTTAGAATGCTATAGAATGTAATATTTTAGCAAGATATGTAAGTGCGGAAACTTATATGATGTAGTTATTATAATAAATTGTTCCAATTTACTTTCATTTTTCATCTTTTATTTCAAGTAAGATTTCTCCTTCGCGCAAAGAGAACATTCTCTGTAGTGGTACTTTAATAGTAGCATGTATATATGTTGTGTGCGCTTGCAGTATATTTTCTCATTTCTTACCAGGAAATTTCCATCATAGCTGACATAGCTTTTCTTTTGTACACTTTCATTTGTCTGTTTGCAGCGACCGGCATCATGCCTAGTATAGAAAAAATTATAAAAATAGAATCATCCATAGAATCGCATATGGATCCTTTGCACACTCCTGAGCTCGTACCCAAACCCGAAGAAATTGATATTTCTGAAGATGAAGATTTTGAAAATGGTGACGATGATAACGATTTTGAACCCGATTCGGAACAAGACGATAATGAACCCTTAATAAAATTGAGAAAAAGGCAAAGACAACTCATTAATCGTCGTACATTAAAAAATGGTAATTCGAAAATTAAAATACCTCGGCCGATAACGTGTGGAGATATTTGCAAGCAAAAATGTCGAGAAAAATTCACCGAAACTCAACGAAAATTAATATGTGAACATTATTGGAATCTTAGTCCTGATGAGCGCACAATTTTCATTAGAGATCATGTAAAAGCAAAAGTTTTCATAAAACTAAAGAGAAAACGGAAAACAGATCGAGGGAATACTTCCGTTTATTACCTGGGAGATCCGACTTGGATAAATTCACCTCACCTGAGAGTTTGCAGATCTTATTTCGTAACCACTTTATCTTTGACATATTACATTTTAAAAAAGGCTTTAGACGGCTACGAAATGCAGCCGGAACCTGAACTGGAGAAACCTTTGCATCTTGAAACAAAAGAAGATAGAAGGAATAATAATCAATACATAAAAAATAAAGAAAGATTAAATAAACCATCTGAAGTTGAGCATATCTTAGACCCTGTAACCGGTAACTTAGTAATCGAGAAGAAGGATAATAAGAATAAAAGGATGCGTGGCCAGCCAGATAAACACTTGCCAAAGCCCATATCATGTGTTGAACGCTGCCTTCATAAATGTCATTTGAAATTCACCGAAGAGCAGAGAAAACAAATTTGTTCTTATTTTTGGTCAATGGACTACAAGCGGCGTAAAGATTTCATTCTCTCGCATATGGAGACCCGAGCAGTTCAATCAGTTTTAACGGCCGAATTTCGTAAATCAAATCGTTCTTCCCGCTCCCATCAAACACGTTTTTACTTACGCACGGGCCTCAGTGGTGAAAATCAGCGCGTTTGTCAAAAATTTTTTACTGCCACACTCTGTATTACCCGACGCGTAATTGTTAATGCTTTAGAATTTGCTGATCAATCTACTGGTTATTACATGGGTACCGATCGTCGAGGACAGAATGCTATAAGTGATGAACGTATACACGAAATTAAGCAGCATATTGAATCTTACCCTACCTGGACTCCCAATAAAAGGAGCAAAATACGTTACTTGCACAGTTCGTTGAGCATTAAACGCCTATACACCGACTACAAAACGAAATGTTTAGCTGAGCAGAAAAAGTTCGTCTCACACAATTTCTTTTATAGTCTTTTTCATAACGCTTTTCAGTTGGCCTTTTTAAGGCCTGTGGCACCTGCTAATTCGAACGGCAAAACAAAGTTTACCAAAGGCTTTCTTAGTTTAAATCCGAACATTTCCAATTTTACGGGAGAGGAACCAGGAGGGTATTGGCGCAATGTCAAGGGAGAGATATTAGATATTAACACGATAAACACGCACATGCATAACTTTAATACACTATCGGATACGAATCCACCAAATTCTACGAATAATTAAAGGAACGCATAGTTAAGTTCTTAAATTATTAAAGATTATTAAAGGGAAGCTATATACATATTGAGCAATAATTGCTAAGAGTTTCGTCACTGTTTTAAAAGGCTTTCTCGGTTATTCCATCTTATACTTTTTCGATTAGTTCTTTCAGGGCGACTCTTTCCAATCATGAAATGTTTAGTAAAATGCTGTTATGATGTTGTTATTCATATTCCCCCCACCAGAAGATCAACTAAGACAGTAAAGTTTCTTTTTCTCGTACCTTCAGTAAAATACATATATAATACTTTGTCTAAATGCAGAGACTTTGCCTTAACTTCTACTTCGATTTGATATTTTTGAATGGCGGGTCCATTGTCTATATGTTATATGTATATATTCTTGGTATAGAGTTTGAACTAGTCATGTACCGGCTGCAAAATTGGAAGTTCTTGCAAGCAGGTTGATATTAAAAATGGGTCAAAGTGATTAAAAGACACGTCCACAGCTAGGCGTAAACTAAAAAACCCCTCTGTCTCTCTAAACAAAAATTGATGGGTTTTTCCTCATTACTTGCAAGTGATGAAAGACGATATGGAACTCAAATTTTCTAAAATTATTTCATGTTCAAAAAGAGGAAAAAAATTACCCACGCCCATATAAAGTTATAAGTGAACAAATTTTCACGTTTTTCACGCTTTCTATTTATTAGTTAGACGTTAAAGAAGATAGAATGTTGGAAATTGCTCTGTACATCATCTTCGCATCGAAGTACTCTGTTTGCCTAAAAATGAAAAAAAAAAAAAAAAAAAAATGGCTTATAAGTAATCAAATGTTCATTTTTTTCATTCTGTTCGAAATAAAAGCTGTTAGTAATTCGTCTAAGACATTGTAAAAGTCATTAATTATGGTCTAGTAATAATAACTTGCAATGCATCGTTATGATAAAATGAATTGTGCTGGGTATACAGAATACATCCGCAAAGAGATATCTTTTATCGTAGGAGAAAAAATCGAAACTTTCTATTAACGAGGGCGATTCTTTTCTCTGCCGAGCGGAGTTGATCGAAAAAATCTCTACAATTGCATTGTTAATAGCGAGTTCTACAACGAGCATATATGTTAGCATTTATTGCTGAATGGTATTTAACTGCCTGTAAACTTATAATTATCTTGCATTAATACACCATTTGTTTGCCACTCATAGTCGTGTTAATGTGAATGAGTTTATTTTTATAAAAGTAATGTACAAAAAAAGGTAATACCGTATTTCGATGAGCCATGAACTTTTGTCGCGAAAATATGTTCCACCTTATATTTAGCATGATATAAATATTATTATATAGTACAATACGATATGGATTTGCTGACTGTGTAATTGCTTAAAATGTATGTTTATTTCTTTTGCTTGGATCTCAGCTAAAAAGAACATTTTTAATTTTCTAGTTTATAGTAATTAAGAAAATATTTGCACAACAACTCGGGTTGTGTTTTGTGCCAAACACTAGGTAAGTAAGTAAAGTAAAAGAACAAATCCCGACAATATGATGAACAGAATTTTGGAGAGATAACACATTGAAAGAAGTTTAATATGTTTCGATGATGATACATTAAATTGTAAACTTACAACTACTTACTACTACTTATTACTACTTAATTAAGTCTTAATATCGCTTCAAATTAAATGACGATGACGTCATAAGTTAAGAAATGGTTACTGAAACTATAATAAGGAATGCGTGAATGTAATGATTTTCCTATAGTTTTTCTTCAGTTAATATTGTTTTATTATTATTACATTTTTATACCCTACACCACTTGTGGCACGGGGTATATTAAGTTAGTGCGGACGTATGTAACACGCAGCAGGGCTTAAGATGGATGCACCTTTTATTGTACCGGTCGATTCAGAATCATAATCTGAATTTATCTAAGCCTGTCTGTCCGTCTCTCCGTCTAATTTGTTCAAGCTACTCTGCGCAATGTTTGAGATTTTTTGATGAAATTTGGTACATTGACGTGTTTTAATCCGAGGACGAACGCTATTGAAAATGGTTCGGATCGGTCCCCATATAAAGCCCTATTCTTAAAAATCGTAATATGGAAAAAAATTAAAAATTTTCAAAATTTCTCGACAAAAGTGGCTAAGTGATAATACTTCGACATTCTGCATTGGTATGAAAATTTTGGATCGACTGGGTCAGTTTTGAAAGCCCACTCGCATAACGAAAACTAAAGTTCATATGACAAAACAGTATAATTTTCAATGCTTCACGATGAAAAAAAAAAAAAAAAATGGTAGCAAATTTGAACCTTCTCGGCCTGTATTTTGAATCCTACCCTAATAAGGATTGCCACGGGAAAATTGATCCTTTTTAGAAAAGAAAAATTTTTATAAGTCATAATAATAATAATGCCATATAAAAATAAGAATTATGTTAGACAATGTGGTGTAAGGTATTTAATGGTCGGCCTTGCATGAGTTCTTAATGTTCTTATTTTTTTCGTCTTGTTTCGTTTTCTTTAATAAACGAAACGATGTACTCCGATGTTGAAATATCTTAAGATAACATCCCGCACTTTGTCAACACTTCTATTAATTAAAATTGTAAAATATGATAGCAAAGAAATATCTAAACAGAGAAATTAATGTGTGAAGATGTCTGCTAATAAAAATCTCATCAAAAATGTATTGAGGCATATTTTGAAATTTCATGTTGCGGAACAGATTGGAAATTTAAAAAATTGAGAATATAATAAGAATCTATTGAAGCAAATTGCTCGGAAGTACTATTTTCTTTGTTCCAGTTCTTTTTTTTCTATGCGCTCGTTAGAAGACGAATTCGAATACATTCGAAGGTATCGATTTTCGTTGCGTTGTCTCGAGAAGAGTAAAAAGAAAAAAGAATTCACCGTTACAATTTGTCTTATTTTTCTTACTTTCTTCTAACTCTAGGTGTCATTCCACCCGACCGTGTGCCGGAACAATCTACTATCGATTTTAGTAAAAACCCTACTGAAGAAGAAATTGATAAAGCCGGTGAATTACGTTCGCAGGCCGCTGCCGCTTACAGCGACCAAATGTACGCGGAAGCCATCGATTTTTATACGCAGGCTATTGAACTCAATCCGGGTAATGCCTTATTCCATGCCAAACGTGGCCAAGCCTTTTTAAAACTCCAAAAACCGAATGCCTGTATACGAGATTGCAATAGAGCTTTGGCAATTAATTGTGACTCAGCTGCCGCTTACAAGTTTCGGGGCCGTGCTCATCGTTTGTTAGGCAATTGGGAGGAAGCCGCTAAAGATTTACGTCAAGCCTGCAAATTGGACTTTGACGAGGAAGCTGATGAATGGTTGCGTGAAGTTACACCTAATGCAAAAAAAATTGAACAACATCGCTTAAAACAACAACGTAAAAAGGATGAACATGACCGTAAAGCTAGGGAGGTACGTCGTGAAAAGGCCCGTACAGAGGCATCGCAGCAACAACAACAACACGAGAAGCATGATAATACTAGTATGCCTGGAGGCTTCTCGGCAGGTGCAAATTTAATTGATCTATTGTCCAGTATCAATGATCCCGAAGTTATGGCAGCTCTACAGGATATTATGAAAAATCCCACTAATATTGAGAAATATAAATCAAATCCTAAACTTGCTAAAATAATTGATGTATTCAAGAGCTCATTCCCGTGCGGAGTGGGTGGCTTCCCAGGTGGATTTCCAGGATCTTTTCCATCAACGGCAGGGGCTAACGAACCGGATGATGATAATACTGCTACTGCCCCTCCTAATCCCGAAGACAATAAGCCCCAATCCAAAAAACCAGATTTCGTCGATGATGGCCTTGACTAAATCTGTTTTAAAGAAAATATATATATATATAGCAATATTATATATGATGTTATATTAAAACTCCTCGATTATATATTATCAGCGTATTATACCTTGCTTGATATATAAAAATTAATTTCATTTGTAACCATTTCTGCATTTTTGAATACCTTTCTCTTATTTTAAATTTTAAATTGACAGAATAAGTTTTGACCCTTTGCTGCGTATACATAAGCTTGCTGTTAATATTAAAAAAAAAAAAAAGAAAACCGAAAACACTAAAACAAAAAAAAAAAAAAAAAAAAAAAAACTAAAAAAGAACGAAAACTAAAAAGAAAAACAAAAAAAAAGACAAAAAAAAAAAAAGAAAACGGAAGAAACAAAATTGAAATTAAAAAATTTTCTCTAACACTAAACAATAAAATAGAATGTTGTCGTTTAACGCTTTTAAAACGAACACTGAACACTTACTTGTACACACACGAACGTGTAAGAAATCTCGTATCTTTTATCGAAAGGGAATTGAATACAAGATATATAAGATTTATCAATGAACATTTCATAAATAAACGTAAAGTGTTCAATAAAACTTTTTACAATTGTACCATTCTCTTATATAGACATAGATAGTATTGTTCGCAATAATGTGAACTCATCAATAAATACATATAAAATTTTAATGATTTTGTTGACTTCACATGTGTGTACTGCTGAAATCGTTTCTATGTCGTTTGTCAGAATACCTATCATGCCTGAGTACATATTAGAACAAACGCATATGTATACAATTATTAGGTGTTTGCAAAAATTTTGATCAGCGACTTTAGCAGGCAAAAATGATAAGCCAATGGGAAATACCAGTGTACATAATGATTGAATCTTCCTCTACATGAAATGATAGTTTTTCAATTCATATTATTGCGGTGTTTAGCGTATGCCGACGCTAATCATGGACCGCTCGAAACTCTTCTTCGTCCAAATTCATTATTTTTGTTGCCCATTCACGAACACGTTCAGTGGCTTATAGTGATGCTGACCCATCATATCCGATACGAATTGATTGAAATTGCAATTTTCTGAGCTACAGGAGCCGATAATTGTCAGGCATACACTGCTGCAGCTCCATTGGGAACGTACTCGCCAAGCACAGAGTCTGCTGATTATCACTTGTTCAGATCGGTGCGGCATGGTTTGGCTGGTATGCGAGCTCACAAAGTCGAAGAGTTGCAACAATGAGTCGGTGGGTGAATCGCTACCAAAGTAACAATATAAGTTCTTTCTTCATGGCTATTGCCATATTGTCAAAACTATTGTGAAATGTTGTAGAAAATGATGGAAACTATATTGATTAAGAATGTACATTGAACCAATGCACAAGCAAAATTTTTTTTTTTTTTTTTTAAATGAAAAAGTGATTAAAATTTCTGCAAACACCTAATACAATAATTATTTATAGCAATAAAGTAAAGATTGATCGAGGGATCGTCATTATTGCAAAAATTCCTTATATGATTTCAACGATGACATTGTCAATATAATACATTGTCCTTATATACAGCATGAACGTATCATTTCTTTTTTGTGCAAGGCCAAATAGTTAGAGTGAAAGTGACGACGCGCACATATAAACGCAGCCATATAACAAAGTTGAATGAACACAGGCGAGACTTTAAGACGCCTCAGAAATGTTAACAAAGGCAAATAACTAACAATAACATATAGGATAGTTGTGTGTAAGTGCATAGAGACAGCAAAAACCATGTGTATGCATATTTTGCGAATTCTATCTTAAATGTTTAATAACAGCAAGAGTAAAGTAATGTATTTATTTTAGGTTTAGGATTTTTATTTCTCTTCTCATCATCTTTGAAATAATTCAATTAAGCGCATCACGAAAGTATCTCATTTTACTAATGACAACAAAAATTCCGATATTGATTGAAATGCGATTGTTTCGAATATTTCTTAGTTGTATTTCGAAGCAAGTGATCGTGTAGGAAATTTTACGTCTACCAAACTCGTTATTCTTACAAAATGGCGAAATTCGGTTGGGATTGTGTTAAATTGTAAGAGGAAGGAAGGCCAGATCGAGGCAAGTGATTGTTAAGCAATATATTCTTGTATTCTTGTATATAGATTGAGAAACTCATAACGCAATGAATACACGACACGGATTGCGATTAGAAATACTATTATTGGACTTTAAAGAAATTCTGAGATAAGTTCAATATATATTTATTTATTTATTTTTTTTTTTTTGTACTTATCATCGAAAGGGGAAGATAAAGTTTGTAACGCCCAGAAAAAATTTGTGGAGATCTCATAGATATATATATATATATATATATATATTCCCTAAAAGTATCAAATTCTAAATCGATTTAAGCATGCCCGTCTGTCCGCCTGTGCAACGTCTGTTGTAAAAACGCTCCTGGCCGCAAAAATTAAACTACCGTTTTCAAATTTGGTAGAAACCTTGAAACTTCTTACACGTAGACTAGTATTGAAAATGAGTCGTATCAGTCAAGGGACACTTGCCTGCAGTAGTACATAAATTGAGAACACCTCTGCTTATCAAAAGGAATAAAAAGTTGATTTTTCCCTTATTAAATAAATGTACGCAACCGTTTTGACAAAATGGATCTGTTCGGTATTTCGGGTTTCGGTCTTTTTATATTATATTGACCAATAAAGAATAGGAATATGTGCGTCTTGTTCCATTTATAATAACGCAAAGCACTTATTAGAAATCCTGTAAAGTGAGAATCCAAATCGACCTATCGATGTCCTTAATCGTTCGTTGTCGACACTCTTGCTATATAATATATGTCAACGGTTTAGAACTTTAAAATAAATAATTAGATGAAATTATCTATTGAAGTCAAAAGATGTAAATAGCGCTGAAGAAAGTGAAAAACTTCATTATAGTTTTAATGGGTTCGTGCATAATTACCAGGCGTTCTTGAACACTGTTTATTATGAAAAAGGAAGCATACAAACTCAAAAGTAAACTTTTTAAATGATTAATCTGCAGCGTAGTCGCGATCCATTTTCCATTTGCTTCCAAGCTTATTGAGACGACGAACGATGTTTGAATGGTCCACACTGAAGTTGTCGACCAGCATTCAAGTTTTCAAGCTTTCGTCCCCTTCCGCGGCTGGCAAAAAGGCTTGGTCTTCGAAATTCAATGGTCGACCTCTTTCTAGCTTATTTTCGAAGCTGGTGTTGCAAGATTTGAAGTGGGCATTTGAAGAAGCATTCCCTGCATCGACTCTCACTGATCGGTCGCCTCAACGAAAAGTTCATTAAGATCATTTCCCAAAGTGTTGCAGCATAATATGATGAATTTAAATATGATTATCGACACGCACTTTTTTAACCTAAAAGTAAAAGGATATTTTTATTCATAAATTGATAAAATAGCGTATATTTAGCACGACAAAGAAACGCCTGATAATAATGCGTCAACCTGTTATTACTACTAATAGCACATAGAGCATATGTTGATTGACTATATACAAGACTTGGTAAAAGTGCCTAAATGTTGAGAGTTAAGATTACCTCACAATACGTTCTCCAAACCTGAATCAGGCGGATGATCAGAATAAGCCTTACATCATATGCATTTCTCTTCCTTTTTTTGCTTCGAAAGGAACAGTGATTCCCTATAAATTGTTTGTTCAAGTGATAAATAGAAAAAGATTTACTATAATAATGCTTGGTTATGTAAAATGCGTCGGAAATAAAAGTGAATTTCAATTGGAATTTCAATCGATTTATCTCATAAGTACCAGGCAAACACACATTGTGAACTACTGCGCATTTTACAATGCTTGTAAAGGATGAAAAAACCTGTTATAAATATGAGGCCGCTGTCAATACGTACCTTTGTATACTGATCGCTGTGTGAAGAGTTCTGAGATATAGTTGAAGATTGTTGCAGCAATGAGGGCAATGTGCAACGAGTAATTTATCAGCGACTGATGTTGTTATGAAGGGAATGGCTACTTGGTTACTCCCGCCAGATTTGCTAAATTAAAATTGCCTACAAAGCAAGGGAGGTGATTGTAAGTTAATAACTTTAAACCGATAGGTGGGTCATCTTAAATGAAAGGAGTTCTCAAACGAGAATTTTCAGAATGTTCGGACATAAGCGCCGCACGAACTTAGTATAGAAATTTTATCTTGAATAAGATTTTCTCCAATTAATTCAGGAATAGAAGTAATAGAAGAGACCGGATGTGCTACGGTGAGCACGGAATCCGAACTGACATTCATGGTTGGGGCCATCTATTTTTATTTTGAGAATCGCTCGAGCGGAAGATCGTGGGTAAACTCAGGCGTATTGTTCACATCGACTGCAAGATGGAAACGCTTTGTCAGCAAGACGATGCATTAGCAATGGTGGGACAAGAAGGGGATAACCTACTGTGAGGTGTTAGAGCTTGATGGAACGATTAATATCAGACGGCATATGACAAATGACAATTAATCGCTGCAACGGTTCGGTAATCAAAAAACGATGAAACGAGAAGACAAAATCAGTATTTTTTGCCAGACATCCAGTCATCCATCGATATGACTCCGAATTCGAATCGCGTCACCTTGAAAGCACTTAAATGGAAAGTGCTAGTCTTCCATGCTAGTCTTCCTTCGGTTAGCACTTCTTTGCATCGATGGCTTGTTGCATGATGTTAAGGAAAAACTTGTTTGACGAAAGCTACGTGGGAAGAGAGATGGATTTTTATTGGCATATTATCCACCAATTCCTCGAAAGATGTGGGAAAAATGTGTACCTACCGATGGAGTCACTAAAGCTACCTCTTATCGTTCTTTTCAATTTGATGGATTTTTGTTCGCAACTTTATACTTGTATATCTGTGTATATGTGTGTGTGTGTGTGTGTGTGTGTGTGGATAGCTTCATGTAATAATGTGGGGATTCTTTCCCCTAATATTAATACCGGCTTTTTGTCTTGATTAAGTTGCATTCACGTTTGGATTTTGTTTATTTGTTGATTTGGTTGGAAAGCACAACTCGCAATTTGTTTGGATTGTTATTGTTGTTGCTGTTTTTTACTTTTTTTTTTATTTTTAAAGATACACATAAGGACGCACAATGATGACGTAATCTATAGTATATAAACATGAACACAGTAAAGTGAAAAAAGAAAAAAAGAAACAACTGCACACACAATCGGTGCTGAAATTTGAAATTTGCTCAATCATTTTTCTTTTCTTTTTAATATTTAAACATTCGATTTCGATTTCAGTTAGTTTCACTTGCAACGTACGCGTGTTAAGACGTTAAGTAACGATAAAGTGCGATTAATAAATATAAATTGAATTGAATTTTAGAAATAAATTTTAAAAAAGAACTGCAAAAAAAAAAAATATATAAATAAATAAATACAATGTAAGATTTTTTTTTTTTTTTAGTAAACAAATCATTCGCAATAAAAGATTAAATATAAAAATAGTAATAATAAGAATAATAGTAAAGATATTTTCCTTACAAATTATAGTTAAAATTATATATATATAAATATTTATTTATATTTATGAATATATATGTATGTACATATTCAAAGTTTATTTTAAAAATTTTACGTGGGTGTGGTTTTCTAATAAACACTTATGCATATACTTATAATTATTTCCTTTAAAATATACTTTCGAAGAAGTAAAACCACTATGATAGTGTTTCCGTTCTCTTTTAGCGAATCTTGTATACCCAACATCCTAATCGGATGTTGTTACTATTAAGCCATCAAGTGGATGATGATCCATGCTCTCGATCGTAATTAAGAATAAGTAAGAAATTTATTTTTATATGTAAGGGCAAGGCAATACATTCTCGCCAAGTCCGTGATAGCTCTGCTAAAGATATATTTCAAATCTCGAGATCGATATCGAATTGTAAATTGCTACTAACGATATTTCCTATTATCGGCTTTTTAGGACTTATAGGCAGACCTTTTAAGGGATCACGCCCACTCTCAAATCAAATTAGCAGCACAGATGCTACATCTAGGTAAATGTACGGACTGACAGGCGAGAAAAGATCAATCTAATACAGATGCCTATGCATATATATAATGTGTACAAGTTTAGTTAGTTTGCTTGCATTGTTGTGGGCCTAAAGGTATTACAAGTGGAATGATAGAACTAGAACACCTCCACTTGTTGAAGGTGCACACATGAATGATGAATGAAGTTCGATCTAATGCTTAGAGTCGGCAACAGTTGTAATTACAAGCGGACATTAGTATGGGAGAGACTCCCTGATTGTTATTAAGTTATGTATGAAGTAAAGCGTTGCACTATTTTATCTGCCATGGTATTGAGGTACTAAAGGTGAGAAAAATTTTCCTTGTTACAACAGATATGCCAAAACAGTGTACCCTTTTGAATGAGATGCGTAAAATATATTCCGTTAACAAGAAATATTTGGAAAATATATATATATATATATATTGCTGAACAAATTAAGTGCGTAACTTTTGTTGTTGTTATTATATATGGTATGTTACACCTTACATCTCCTATAGAGTATATTCAGATTGGGGGGATGTATGCGAAACCGAGAAGGATTTAAAGTGGACCTTCTTCTTGTTATACCGATCGATGCAAAATATTGTTTTTAAATCAACTTAACTTGTAACTGTCCGTCCCTCCGCCAGTTTGATGTCTAGACAAGTAGTGCGTCTGCCAATCTAATGCCTGTTCGGATATTTTTTTTTTGTTGAGCGTGTAGATCGCAATGTTTTTTTGTTTTTTTTTGCATACAGTGACGCATTTTGGCACAAGAACGAAAATGGATTGGGTCGAATCATTCAATTTACGATTACTTTTCCAAAAAAACTGCAATTTTTTAAATTTTTCGACAAAATTTTTAAAAAGCAATATGTCAACATATTAGATTTGATGCGACAAAATTTGGATCGGATGGATTAATTATTTAAACCGCGTCCCATATAAAACTCCTGACGAAAGGTAAGCATTTATATGGAAAAAATGTGTAATTTTCGATATTTTATAAAGAAAATTAGTCTATGGTTATAATTTGATATAAAAATTAGTTACAGCAAATTTGGACTCAGTGCGTCTATAATTTAAAAAATAAGCATACATATGACAAAATGATGAAAATAAGTGAGGAATAATAAAGTTTTCGGTGAGAAAATTAAATTCGCCAAACGCGGGCAACATAAGTTTATGTTGTGTGTACGTCCGTCGTATAAGCGCTTCTTTGAGAAGTATACCTTTACATGGAAACAGGGAATCACTTCTAATACATTATCACGAATATAAATCTGGACTTGTATTAGGCAAATTTGTATGAAGTATATTCAATGTTCTGTCTTCTCCGACTATAATGTTCCTTTACTTGTTTTGTATACATTCAGTTGTAGACGAAGTAATTCATTAACTTTTTGATGATCTCATTTAATATGTACGTTTATTTATGTTATGTTATGTATAGACAACATTGTGTTGCGTATGGGTTTCAATGTTATTATTAAATATATATTTATGTGTACGTGTATTTATATATGTTTATTATTTCTTGCGTATACATACACATCATAATATTAATTGTACGATTATTTGATTGCAAACATACGTACATATACATATATATATATTTATGTAAAACAAATATATGTATTTTGAATTGAGCAAAGAGCCACAGCTCTTTTGGAAAAGTACATTTGAAAACAATAATTTTTCGTATTCAATGCTAGGCTTTTAAATATTTAAAAAATATAAATTATTTTTAGGAAATGATTACCCGGTAATATTATCTCTTATCGTTTGTCATAAGTTGTAAACAAATTCATGCTCTACATGGCATTTTGCGTCAATCGATTGCACCGATTGATGAAACTGTTGCCATTCCTTGAAATTTTCACTGTTTCAAAAAGTCGATTCGAATATTGTGTATGTTCCAAATTAAGATCAATTACAATCCATTTTAAAATTGGACATAATTCGATTAAAAGGACGCTTTGAGATCAACTTGAACCATAATCTGCGGCAACCTGGTATTCTAATGTCAGAAATTCTATTCGTAATTGCCTTAACCCGAACATGGTTTCCATCGGACGTGGACATAAATAGTCCAAGACTAAGACCAATAGTTTTCTTCTTAATATATTTTGTAATAATTGGTGAAGGTGTGATTAATTGCTTTATTTCCATTCCCATTCTCAGAATTCGTTTCAGCTACAAACCGTAGTACTTTCAGATGAGATATATTGTCCTCCCCATTCCATTGACAATCCCAATCACTTGATAATATATAAAAATATATCAAATAATTTCGAATTATTTAACAGGAGAAGATGTGATGACAGTGATGGCACAAATTTAATTAATTTTGATCGTTAATCGTTATTGAGATATTTTTCGCGACTTCTCGCACGAAGTTGCAAATTTGGGAAAAATTAAGGCTTAACGTAAAGGAATAAAACCAAAAATTCCTATGCATTTACTCTTACGATTTTTGGCGCTTATTAAACCAAGATTTGTGAGTTATATTATATTTGTTTATGACCTTTTGAAACTTCGGTATTAAGATTGATCGATATTAACGAAAAATTGCATGCAATTATTAGCCATTTTGTTGTAATCGATTTTATTAATTGGAATAAGTAAATACTTTGTTCTTTATATTTTATTCAACAGGGTACTATTTTTAGCTAAATAATAAATTGTTAGCGATTTTGTTTGTTTATAACATTTTTCAAAGTACACGTTCTCGACGCTTGTGCTGAAATGTCTCCATTTCACTGTTTTCTTTGGAGTGTTTTATGGGTCCACTTAAAACTAATTAAACAAATTAACAACAAGTAAGAAAATTAGATTCGGTTGTGACCGAAACTTTTATACTCATCACCGTTGTTCTAAAAGATACTCTTATTATTATTATTATTATTATTATTATTATAAATTTAGCCAGAGAATAAATTCTAAGACTTAAGTCTTAAAGCATTAGCATTTAAGGCTTTCTGGTTTATTAAAAACTCTACCGCATTTGAGATTTGAACGCCCACGACCATTGAGTTGCTAGTCAAGACCCTTGCCTACTCGACCACTCAGGCGGATTAAAAAAAGATACTAAAACAAAGACAGAAGAACAAAATTTTTATATTTTATAATAAATGGAAAGATACGACTGACTTTTCCTATTTATGTACCTACATATGTAGGCGTGTGTTATACTGTTAAACTCGATATCGAGTTGCTTATATACTTTTTGTATGGCAATTGTTCTATTATTTTGTTACATACAAACCTCTGGTATGCTGTGTCAAGTGTGTAAAGACGTCGGAAACCTTTCGGGTCAAGCTCAACTAACATTTGTGCAAGAGATATTAGGACGTGGGGTATCTTCCTTTTAAATAACATATATCGTTTCATTTTTCTTTTGCTATAATAAACGTCAAACTTTCGCTAATAATTATCATATCTCCCAAAATTTATTTTTACATATTGTATTATTCAAGAAAGTGAATATACAGCAACAACAAACAGCTGAAGTCTTAGCGGTGTTCCTTTAAATGCTACGTGCTATAATCGAAATTTTGTAAATTTTTTCCCCCAGTTTCTTCTTATGTGCTGAATGTAGTAATAAGTAACTAGTGGAACGCATAATAGATTAGATTTGCGCAACCGGAAATTGATTGAAAGAATTTTCTTTATAAACATGACATCACTATTAGTCTTACATGGAGTAATAAGATGTACGTATGTGTAGATTTTTGTAAAACAAATTCAAAGAAAAACAAATATTTACAAGTGTTACAAAAAATGTTGTTAAAAGTCTGCTTTCTATGAGTTATTTAAGCGCCTATCAATCGAATGCAATTTTCAGTTAACATGATTTCATATAACATTGAGAACAAAATGCTGTGACTCATTCTACTTACGATTACGCGATTGTCTCATACATAAATACTTATATATACTCTTCACTATAAGTATGTTAACTTTGTCATTACGTTTTCATATTTCAACAACAGGTATCAGAGATTTCACAATGTCGATGTGTGCTATCAATTCACCTAAAGTTCGGACTTGACATGTGCGTTCATTCACGTGCACAATTTGTTATCAAACATGACGGGCTAACACTAATATTAATAACCTTAATGGCATAAGGGACGATCTAAACAAATACTGACTTAAGCGATTCCTAATTTTACCTAAAATTGTTAAGGAAAAATAATGCTAAGGGAGAGAAACCTGAAAAAAAAAATATTTGTTTTCCGTTGACATTTTTCTCGGAACGAAGGCAAAGCTATCAGAATGAGATTATTAAGCCTCAATTTATGCATTAAAAAAGCTAAATATTTTTACAAAATATTAAAGGCGGGCAACACCGCAGCTATGTTTGCAAAGCGTGCTCAATTGAAGTGTCGCAGCCTCTCAAAGCTTAACCGATGCCAAGTTTAAATCTAAAAATACATTTCATCTACCATGTCCATAGGTGAAGAAAACGTAGGATATTCCAGGAATGTTGATTTTCATGTAATTGGCGACTATTTGAATGAAAAAGTTGATCTTTTAAACCAATGAAAGAATATATTTTACTCGTAAAACTTTATTAAAACTAATTTCTCGAAAATATCGTACGTGATTTCTCCAGATGATGTTATTTCAAAAACGTTGTGTCAAATGACGCACCGGCTGTTTTAAAAGAAAGTGTGTTTTCATCAAAATATATATTTGAAATTCTGAAATGGGTTACACATATGTGTGCTCATTCCATTAAATTGCCCTTCCTCGTTTAAGCATTCCGCCTCATTCTCTTTTTTCGAAGATTATATTGTAGACAGTGGTGATTTTGTTGCATTTTTTTGAAAACGACTGTGTTGTTATTCTTGACCTATTGCGAAATAACAGGAAAAAATGTATACTTCTGTAGCTAAATTCTTGGCAACGGCTCCTTATGAATAGCCTTCAGGTTCATACTGTGTTGTCGTTAATTCGATGTTAATGAAAAATGGTGACGCAACAAACACTGATAGTAATAAAAATATTCCGTAACACAGACGTAATCGTCCGCAATTCATTTCTAGTAAGAAACTTAAATTTTTACTGCACAAATTTGTTAACTAACTTCAGGTCTACCAACATTTTGTAAGCCTGCCAATTTTTTTGCATTCTAAATACACCTTAACAGGGTTACCATTACCATCACTCTTAAAAGTATTATTAAATCCCACAAAATTTATGCAAAGGCTCTCTCGATGTAGTACCATGCACGATGCATACACGATGCATACGAACAAATTTCTACTCGTCAATGCTTGCAGACACTTGCTAAGAATATCTTTTGATGGATTATATAAGTTCGCAACTAATGAGAGCAAACCATAAGACTCAAAATTCTCAACATGGGTTTTGCGCACTTTCTTCATATTACTTGCAAAGGAGGACGACATTTCAAAGAACAAATTTCTCACTGTTAATGAAATTTTTTTCCCACATTCCAGAAGGTTTAAAGTTACTAATAGAAAATAAAAAAAAAATAAAATAAATTTTCAAAAGATTTGCGGTACTTTCTCCTTTTTATTGACTCGCATTTATTTAAAGGTTCTTTATTATATCGAATACGATTTCTTTATCGACGCGGAAGATTTCATCGAGGCAGTCATATCGGTAAATTGTTCCGGACATACTGTAACTGCTCAACGCAAAGAACATTAAAATTTTCTGTTTTCTTTTCAATTTCGTTTGAATTTAGGATAAATTATTAGTTGAAACATATATGGATTCAATGTTAACCGTTTATTTCCCAAGAACACTGCCGGACGGCCATAATTAATTTCACTTTGACTTACACTGGAAACGACAAATATATCCATATAAGCAGATTTTCTCCACATTCCTCATATGACAGGTTATTATGCACGTACATATACTACCGCTACCTAGATGTTTTTTGTTTTTTTTTTTGCACAGTTTTCATTTACAATTGTCATATAAGTCTTAGAGCTTAGAGCTATGCCCCCACGAGTAAAATACAAATCCAGACATTGTTTTATCATAAAGGTGACCAATTCATGCTAAAATTGGTCATCTTGCTTGCAAGTTTTTGTTATACGCTTTGCTCATAAGCTTTTATACAAATCTCTGGTATTAAATTTTCTACAACCCATCGCGAAGAGTTCATGAAGTAATAGGAAGGTCTTTATTCTACCTTAGGTTAACGGAAATGACGCAATACGGGTTGATATTTTTTATGATTTTAATAATTGGGATGGTTATGTTCCTCCCCTCCATAGAAAAGGAGACTTAGAAATATACGAAACTAATTTGTCCGTATGCACTGTGCACCTACGTAAAATTTAAGTTCATTTGAAATTCAAATTGGGAAATTCAAACTTTATATATATATGCTTGATTAGTATAGATAGCAAAAAAGTTGATCTTATTGTTAAGGTATTTTTATGCCCATCACCGAAGGATGAGGGGTACATTCATCTTATCAAAACGCTTGCAACGCCCTGACGGAAGCTTCAGAGACCCCCACAAAGTATATATATTCTTAATTAGCATCATATTCTAAATCGATTTAAGGATGTACCTTGTGTGCCTGCGTGTCTGTCCATCTGCATAATGTCTGTTCTAAACGTTCTCCTGGGCGCAAAAATGAAGCTGTCACTTTCAAATTTAGCAGAAACATTGGAATCTCTTGTACGCAGGTTGGTATTGAAAATGAGCCGAATCGATCGAAGGACACGCTCACAGCACGAAGTAAACTGAGAACACCTCTGTTTTTCAAACGGAATGAAATTTTACTTTGCTGCTCATTACTCATAGCATTCGTGGGCAAAAATGGAAAAAATTGATCGCGCCTACCCAGTATTATAATCTATCAAAATTTAATCGTTTTTCCAATATTACTATAACGCGTCAAAATAAGTTTCAAAGACCCCATAAAGCATGCGGATTTTTAGTCAGTTTCAAATTTGCAATGCACTTAAACATGTCCTCCTGTTCATCTGCCCATTTGTCTGTTTGCGCAACTTTGTAGTATAGTTTTAAAAATTTCTTTTTTTCTATACAATGACTTTTGCAAAAAAGGGCGTAACGTAGGGAATGACTGTAAAAATGATCCGATCCGATTCATTTTCAATAGAGTTCATGCTTGGGTCTAAACCAATCAGTGCACTAATTTTCCTCTAAATGTCTGGATTGAGGACAAAAATACTGACTGACACAGCGGCAGATAGACGGACAGACAAGCTTAGATCGATGTAACAAATGATGCAAAACCGATCCGATAAGTCCATCTTAACTTGTTCTTGAAGGATTACACACGTTCGCACGAAATTCGTATAGCACCAAAACTAATGTAGGGTATAACAATTAAAAATTATAATGTTGTTATTTTACTACTGTGTAGAATTACGATTTGCAAATGCTCAAACTTTCACAACTATCGTTAAGTATGAGTAAAATAGTTGGTTAATGGCGATTTGTTCACAAGATTTTACAGCAACATCTCTTATAAGCTCACGTCGATTTTTAGATCGAAATATCTGCTATGAGTTCCTATGAGCGCGATTAGTCGTGACTCTCCTAACGAAGAGTAAATTAGATAAACATCAGTAACTACGAACACAGACAGAGAGACAAAAGGACGTAGGTAAGTTTTGATCCGCAAACTAACCCGAATCAATATACTTGTCTTATATATGCTCAACGATATTTCTTGGCATGGCAAGTAGAAAGAATAAAACTAATATACTTCCTGCCACGTAATGGATATCTAAAAAATAGATTTGTATAAACCCAATACTAAGTTTATTTTATTTGCTTTGATATCAATAAAAATAAATTTTAATTAACTGTTTAGCGATGGCGAAGGTGAAATCAAACAAGATATCATTATAAAATTCTATTTTATTGCCTTGAATAAACTAAACAAGTCATATGGAGAAGATCTACTTGCGATTAATGTAAAGATTTTTCTGATTTCTTCTTTTACAGTTCGAGCGGATTCGCTTTCAAAGGGCAACAATTCAGATAAATAAATAAATACATATACGAAAATGTCTCATTCGGTAACTATTACTCGTACCACTACCAGTACCACCAATACCTCGTATATTGTGTTAAACACGGGCTACCTGAAAACTTTCTCAGGACTTTTGAAACTATTTGAACTTGTAAGTAACGAAACGATCCATTTATACAATACCCAATATATCTTATCTAATACTGGCAGCTAATTGGTGGAGCGATGGTCGGCATTTTTGGTTATTATCAAAGACATGGTAACAGTATGTTTGTTGGTTCGGCAGAATTATTTGCTCTTTTAATGTCTGTCACCTTCATGATTGGTACGTTTTGTTTACTTCTATCATGTCTCACATCGTTGAGTACGGGCGGTATTATATCCAAAACGATTTATGTAAGTGTTGAAATGTTTTAAACGTGTTGTTGCATTAATCATATCTAAAAAATTTGTTTCTATGCTTGCAGGAATTAATTTATCATAGTGTTGCTGCCATTTTATTGTTAGCTGCCTCCATAAATCTGGTGATTGAGCTAAGCGATCGCCGTTATAAAGGCTATAAGCAATATGATGCTTATATGGCTGCTGGCATAATGGGCTTAATTAATACCGTCTTATATTTTATAAGTGCTTTTTTGGCTCATCGTTCATATCGTGGCATTTAAATTCATCTATTTTACAATTTATTTAAATTCAATCGCTTATTTATATACATGCATACATGCATACATATATAATACATCTTTATATGTATATAAGTATTGTTTGTTTAAACATTTTTAATTTATTTATCTTAAAATAAGCGAAACTACCCACACATATTTATATGTATATATATGTATATGTATATATACATATGTAGGTTCAATTGAAACCGAAAAATTTTTGTAAAAAATAAAATAAAATGTGGAAAAGAGTTCGAGCATTTTATATGAATTTAATACAGTCTGCCACCGTTTTATTGAATGAAACAAATTTAAGTCACAAACACAAATAAGTTTTTATTTTTTAAGGAACATTTTTTACAAATCGATTTTCCATAAGATCTCTAAATATAAATATGTGAAACTTTTTTTGCTACATACTCTTAATAAATTTTCAACTTTTTTTTTTTCCTTCCCCTTCCATTCATTCTTCTGTTTTATAAAAAGGAAAATGGAAAAAATTTGCGTTTAATTAAAATCTTAATAAATAAATCGGAAAATTATTTTGTTACCAAACGATTATTAAGAAAATAAACAAGAAATCAAATTATAAATGAAAATTCACATTTTTACTCTTCAAATAGCATAATGAGATATAAATCAGGTCTACGTAGCGTATGGCCAAAGAATTACATATTGACGTTTGCTAAAAAAGATTTATTCATATTAAGTATAAAAAAAAATAAACACAAAAAAAAAGAAGAAGAAAAATTTAATGAAATTATTTTTGAAATGAAAACTATAATCAATTATTGGATTTATTTCGTTTCAGCCCATTGCGGGCAACTTAAACGACCTATCGTTAGACAGACTAATTAAGTGAATTGTCGATAGGACGGCGCTGATAATTAGAAGTCGCCCGGCCTTAACAATAATTGAAAGGGTATTTTTTACTTGAAAACGGAGTCTTTTCTTCCAACGAAATATTCACTTGGTTAAATAAGGCTGCAAGCCTAAAGTCACACCTTGTCACGCTTTGTCACGATGGCATTACATCTTGCTTAAGTAAAGTGGCCACAGTTCTACTTCAATTTGGTCAATAACCATCTCAAGCCTAACTATATATGCTTTCCCTTTTCTTTTCCAATTTTTTTTTTAGTAGCCTTCAGGGCGTCACTTGAGCAAAACTGATAGCCGTCCAACGATATTTTTCAGTCATTTTACTCTCCATTGACGATTATTTCTTTCATTTGTGTAAGCGTAATAAGCATCAATCTGTTTCTTTCAATCGAGAAAATGGCAACAATTGAAAGGAGTTTATATATGTGCATGGGTTCATATGAACATATAAGGAAGCAATTACTCCCTTACCCTTCACACAACATTTACCGCACCCAGAGCGGTATCGTTTCGATTACGTTACATGTTAACCTTCCCCCATACATTACATACTTGATCTGTGATACACATTTACACCGATATATTCTTACCTACAATATAATATAATATAATTATATATTATTATATATATATATATATATATATATAATTTGTACATATAATCACCATGAATTACGCACCTATACCGATAATAAACATATATATGTATATACTAAATACCAACGTCGGTACTCTCAAATTCATTTTTGTAATTATTCTCCAAGTGATATAGTGCACCACACCTATAAATTACACTCAAGTTACCCAAAAGCTTTCTCAGCTAACTCTCTATGCTCTATGCTTTAATAATTAAAGGCTACAATACCCTTTCGGTGTATAAGTAAGCATATGGTTATCCATATGACAGCATGGCAGCCAACAACTGTAAAAGCGAAAAAACGGTGATCTGCCTTTAGCTGTTCAGCAGCAGCCAGATCTACAGGTAAGCTAAAGACTCTTATTGCATCCCTTTAAATTTTTAGTTTAACAGTCCGCTCGCTTGTCTTATCTATTCGCAACTGGCTTCTTAAGCTAACAGCGTGCGTGTGCATCGTGATCTTATACACTATTGACCCGAAAGAAAACCCTTGTTTTGTAAATTCTCAGGATACTTTCAGCTCGCCGGAAGATTCTACTCTTATGGAAATCTATCTGGTTGCCTTTAATTAAAGATTAGCACAGAAGCACCGATTAATTAAGTCTCGTTGTACGCGCATTACATTGCTATCTCTAATTGTCCACTATCGTGGCTGGCCACTGGTATATGTTGGGTTTTTTCTTTCCTTCCTTTGTAACTACATAAATTGATTCACGTAAACTCCCGAGGGATCACTAGGCGGTAATCCGGTAAATTCTCAAGTGAATCTGTGGAAATAAAAATACCACAAAGCTACATATATATATATATATATATATATATATAGTCGTAAGAAATCCCGTCAATAAATCAAACTACGTCTTGTAATGAATCAATTTATTTGCACATCATAGTGGCTACTCTAGGAAATATTATGAATGATAGATGCAGCGTTAGTGGCATTTAAAATGTCAACGTATACAATGGAAGCATTTTGAGTTGAATGAATGAAAGAAAGTCTTCTATTTCCGCCTAATTATAGTTTCCACATATTGTGTCTGCCGTTTTCTATAATTTTACTTTTACTTTAATCTCAAAATTTGTATTTCTAAGTAATAAATATTTGTGAGATTAAAACATTGAAAGAGACATGGCAGACTATTTGATAATTATACTGATTGAATTATGCTGGTCCGCCTTGGTTTGGAGCCCCTCTTCTGGCTAAAGTATTAAGTACACGCGCATAGATCATATAGGCTTGGACAACGATAACCATACCGCTACACATTAGAATAAGTTGTATAAGAGTTAGATTCAAAGCCATTTGATAATCTTCGTCATCTAATATTTCATGATCAAAGAAATCATTGATATCGCCTTCGAATCGGATATAATAGGTATTGCGACTTTGAAAGAGGAAATACATTAAAACGGAATAAACTAGTACATGCTGTTTAAAGAGCCAAAGGAGAAAAGAAAAGGAAAATTCACAATTTTGAAAATAAATTCGTTATAATAAACATCTATACATGCACATAGATACTTACATAAGCACGTAAATAGGTGCGAGCCAACTCATTTTTGGGTGTTAAAAAGAAAGAGGCCAAACCCATATAGAAACTAATGAAGGCGACACATGCGCTAACATATTGATGCTCGAAGATATCAAGTTCATGCATAAGATCGAAGAAAGAAACTGTTAGGTAATTCTTTACAGCCAAGGCCTGCAAAAATTCTCTAGTAAAATTCAACTCGGCAGACTCGGAAAGCTCGAACTGATTCTACTCACCCCAATAAGGATCATAAGCAGGCCCAAGCATTCTTTACGGCTAAAACATTTAATACGCATCTCGATAAAGTTTAGCGATCGAGATATTCAAAAAAAAAAAGAGAAAAGAAAATGAAAGAATTACTTCACCGAAAGCTCCGCCAAGCGACTTTTCTAAACTAATCATCCGACAAACATATGAAATCCGAATTGTCATCGTAAAAAGCAAGGCATATTAATTATATCCCATTATACAATATATGGGAAAAGTATTTTTTTTTTTTTTTTTTTTTTTTAAAAAAAAAAAGTCGTTTTTATAGCAAAAATATTTTAAAAAACTTTTTTTATATAAGAAAAAAAAATTGTTATTGGATTTAACAACAAATTTTTGAAATCTTCTTAATCTATTATAAATTATGGAATATTCTGTATTTTCTTAGAGCAGAGTCAATCTATATTTTCTTGCTATTAATATAGACCAAACGATATTTTAACCGGCCTTTAATTCTGAATTGATATCGGTATGTTCGTCGTGTAGATCAATCTATTCGTTTGTCGGTTAGCTGTTGTAAAAAATATTCATGACTACATGCCCTTACCACGCCCAATTTCTATACTAACTAAATGGTGCAAATGTAACGCGGGCGGACTATCGATTAGTTACTTATTTTCATAGGCATTTTACTTATTGCTTTAATGCGGTGGATATCGGTAATCAATTTTAAAAGAAGTAAAATTTTCTTAGTTATTCGATTTATAGGAAAGTTTTCTGAAATCTTAAATTGTCTAACTAAAGAGAGATGTATAACTTTTCAGTGTATATTTCGTTATAAAGCAAAACAGAAAAAGAAGTAAGAAAATTATGTTCGGTCGTGACCGAATCCATTATACCCATCATCGTTATTGTAAAAAGGCAAAAAAAAAATAAATAAATAAAAACTACATTTTCATGCTCTGTAATATGGAGTGGGTGGTGTGGATTTTTTTTTATTTTCAAAATAAAAATGGGCGTTATATATTTAGGGCACTTCTAAATTCTTTTAGCAAATTTTTCTTCATTTTTTGTGACCGATAGAATGTTTATCACAGATACTACGCGGTTGGGCAGACGGACGAATGGGCACGCGGACATTCTTAGGTGCATTTATGGAGTTCTTTTGTGCATTTAAAAGATATTGAAATGAAAAATTAAATTTTATTACACTATAGTATTGGATGGGCGTGGTCAATTTTTATCATTTTCCTTCAGATGCTATAGCATCACTCGCAGAATGTAAATGCAAATTTTCATAAATATCTCGGCTGTAGTAGCAGCGAAAAACCAATTTTTATATTCCCTTTCAAAAAGGGGGGTGTTTGCAGTTCACGTGGGTCCTTCGACCGATTTCAATGCCTCTTTTCAATGCCAACCAAGGTTTCTGCGTCGACCAGGAAACATTTTACAGCAAACATTACACAGACGGACAGACGGACAGACGGACATGTTTAAATCGTTCCGGAATTTGATACTAATCCACAGATCCATATTGCCTCTGACATTTCCTTCTGCGTCTTTTTAACATTTCACGCCTAATCTTTGGTGATGGCTACAAAAGTGATGCAGAGATGCATCAAGATCTTGCTTTTTTAGAAAAACATTTCAATCTATATCGCAATGCCTGAGGAAATTGAACAGTAAATCAATTTTCATAGTTGACCTTAACTTAAGGGCATATCCTGTTGCTTTTCTTCAGCCATAATACAGGGTATTGAACAATCTTTGACTAATTCGTAGCCTGGCTAGTATGACGCATTTTTCTTTTTTTTTTTATGTATCATC